AAAATGTTACCGTTCTATAAAAAAAAATTCATTGATTCCCTTGTTTTTTTTTAATTCATATCACATCTTTATTAAATTTTGCCCCCCCCCCCCCGGCCCCCCCCCCCCCCCAGTCCTCTGGAAGACGCATGAGTTTATTGCGAACCGAGGAAGAAGTCACACGCAACGTGCGTGTCGCTTCCAGGCTTGACATGAAGAAGCTATCACGTGTGATGCACGTTGTTCGCAGCACAAGTGGTTAAGATCGCGAGACGAATCGGTCAATTTCCCATTTGCTAAAATATGAGTATACCCCTTCTCACAGATTTTCAAAAGCTTTCGATCGTCTACGCTCTGTTCATATGACACATTGCTTAGATATTAACACAAGAACTATCAAGCCAGTCAATTCTACCAATGTATTTTCATTTATTTTGTAAATTGCTCGGTCACTAACAAAGCTTTATAGTAACTTCCGGTGACAATTATCAGAATAGGGAACTGGTTGTACATTGAAGAGTTGCGTTGGCTCTTCTCAGTGTAATTAAACAGATATTGCAGTGTTTATGATAGATACGCGTCGAACGACGGCGTCGGTAGGTGTAGGATTAAAAGTCTTTGGCGAATAAAGATGCGAGATTAGCAAAAGAGAAAAAGACGTTATCCGAGTTCCAATATTTGACTAGTCGATAAGACGAGACGATAAAAGGCCGATATCGGGCGTAGAAAGTGAATACGGGTTTAGCGAAGGTGATATGAATATCGAATTCATCGATTACCGATTACCGCCGCTACCGGTTCCGTGTGCATGCAACGCTTTGCTCCTCGGAAGAAAAACGAGCTGTTCGGCCAACAGGAACGAGGAGGGCGGAACAGGCTCGAAGAAACACACGTTGCACCTGCTGCTTAACCGAGATCCTTTTCCCTGAACGGAACCCCAGATTTTATCCGGCCAGTTAAAACTTCGATGCCTATCGCACGCTACAAACCCAACTAACGAATTTTAACCAGCCCCCGTTTTTAATTTCAACGCCGCGTAGTGATTAGGTGTTCCGTCTAGTTTGAAGATAACAAAAAAATTGATTTTATTTTTACACTTTCGTCGAGAACCAAGTTTCGAAACCTTTATGTGCTAAAAAATCTGCGGTGAAATTTGAAAACCTGATGATTTCGAAGGACTGTCAAACTGAACTCTATATTACTATCTCCCAACAGTGTTTGCGCCATGCCCCGCCTGAACACTTCAAAGCTCCTGAATGTCTCCTGACGTAACAGTTAATCAATTTCTGAGAATGTGTAGTGTAAGTAAGTACATTCAAACAGCTTAATAAAAGGAACGTAGATGAGCTATTTTTAATTCCACTATTTCCGATGAATATAAATGTTATATTAAATACTTTAGTTAATGCGATCCTTGAACTTTTCTACTTTCTAATATCCGTGCTACTTTGTTTTCTAGGAATAAAAAGTTTTCATAAGAGACTTCAACAGATAGCTCTACAATTTGCTAAAAAATTCGCGCAATTCTTACTAATACGATCTATTTCTTTCAATTTTCGTGTTATTCCATGTTAAACATTCTGATTAAAAATATTTTGTTGAATTTTTAAAACAGTCATGCGTTCTTTTGTACACACCTTGTACAACGACGTATTACCCTAACAAAATTAATTACTTATACTAAGAAAAATGTTTGTAGCTTGAGAAACGTAAACATAGAAAGTTCAAAGTTGACGTTTCCAATAATTTCTTTAAAAAATTCAATGCAATTTGGTGCAATTCATATTTTAGTTTGTGAACGTTGATAAACGTTGATGCAACAGGCCATCTTGGCTTTGTAAAGTTAGAGTTAAGTGTTCGAATTTCCACTTAATAACAATTAGATGTCGCTGCCATGCAGCTGCAATATATTAATTTAATAAAATTTAGTGGATATAAAGAAATTCTATCACTTTAACACACACACACCCCCTCCCCCGTTCCTGAGGAAATAACTTTTTCAATGACTTAAAATTGAAAACCTTTAACGTAGTAATGTACCTATTAATTTTCGAGAGTTTAAGAAGTAACATATTGCCTCATTCTTCAAACGTCGATGTAATACGCACTCTCGGTTTTAACAGATTACAGTTCTGTGTTCGAATTTCCATTTAATAACAATTAGATACGTCGTGCTGCTACGATATATTAATTTAGTAAAGCTGAAAAACTGTAAAGAGATAAAACGTAAAGAAACAAACGTCTTTCAATGTCCAAGAATTACAAAGTTTTTAAAGTAGTAACGCGCATATTAATTGTAAAATCTAAAAACTAACAATAGAGTTTTATTTCGTAGTGTGTATGTACCATGTTTGATTGAAAGAACGTTTGAAAATATTTTAGAAATTGAAAAAATCGCAAAGTACAGGTGCAGCGAAAGAGGTGGCTTTTAATCCACGCGACCCCAAGATCCTTTGAAGTAGAATAAAATTTACGTTAAATTCGAACCGGTATCCGCCGTTGCGACATACGATTCGCTGGTAAAACGCGATAGCTCAAAAAAGAAAATGGCTTCCAATGCTTCGATTGCATGCGTTACTCTTATTTCATGCGTGAACGCGCCAGATAAGTAACGGTAATAGCCATTATCAAACTGAAAATAAATCGAAACGCAAAGAACACTATTGGCTTTGCGTCAAACAGTTATCGATAATATAACAAGTTTGTTCCGTGCGGGTTTAGAAATTCATATTGGATCGGGTAGTGGTAAAACCGAGCAAACGGTAGAAGGAAGTCACGTTGGCGCTATGATTCGGTATTTGGGTCGACAAGAGAATTTTTCTCGCGGTAAATTGTACCCAAAAATTCGAATGGAAGCCCAGAAACGGAATCCAAACGTTGCAACATTTTCTCTCGGTATTTACATACTACTTTACAAACTCGTCTACTTGTGCGTAACCTTTTTTAAAAAAAACTTCATTACAACCATCCATGAGTCACGCTCCGATGTACGATAAAGATTGTAATAAATCTATTCCTCGATAATAACACCGCGAAAACGTTGGCATTGTACGCGTTTTCTGTAGTCACGTTGGAGCTTACGCAGAGGCTAGACTCGGCGAGTGGTATCTAATTGAAATACGAACGCGTCGATGACAGAAGTCTGCGAATAAACTGACCCGAAATACGCAATCAACAGCAACAATCTTTTACACGAACGGCGTACCTGGCTCTACCGCTTACCAGCTACGATAACAGAACAAGTATCCGATCAAATTTATGTAACAGCGTGTTACCGTGTTACCCTGGAATTATTCTCGATAACCTACTACGATAACGTCATTGTGCTAAAATCACTGTCACTCGAATATTTTCGTGATGTTCCTCGGCAACCGTGCACGTTCCAGCGTACAAGATTCGTTTGTGGCTAAACAAATCGTGTTACACGGTACATTTCCGAGAAGTCACGTTCGGCTTGGCTTGTTTTTCGACGTCTTTTTTTACCAGCCGAGGAAAAAAGTTTTAACGATGTAAACAACCACGGTTAAGCAACCAATATTCCCAGATGCGCTTTTAAGGAAATATTCGTTCGACTAGGAACTAAGGAAGGATAGTATCTCCAAAGAAAAGGATCGCAAAATTAAAAAGATAATCGTAAACTGTCCACAGCCGCGCGTCCCGACGGCGACGACGCCTAGCAGGGTCGTCGGATTCTCTTCCTCGACTTCAAATGCGAGAAATCTGACTTTTTTCGGTTTTGCACGGTGCGAGAAAATACATTCGATTTTCATTGTGCTAAAATTATTTGCACGAAAATACCGATGATCTCCTCGCAACATTTCCCTTTGAGAGAAGTAGTTTCTTGGATTGTTATATGCGCAATACTTTGTACGAATTCAAAGCAAACCCAGTTCGTGTCGGATCTCCGTTTGGTTTCATTTGTCACCATACAAATCAACCGTGAAGCGCATTTTCTATGCGTGGTACAGTTTCGCGGTGCACCTAGGATGTTTTTATAAATCGTTTAAATCTTTTTCGAAATCATCTTTGAAAAACCGTCGTCTGCTTGGCGACTCGTGCGTGGAAAGGTTCCGTTGAACGTTTTCGCTTTAAAAATTTGATATGATTCTCGAAGCAAGATCATCTGCGACTGGATCTTGAGCTTTCCATTCGATACATTTAACCCTCTGAGTGTATGGACGCTTGCATGCGACTCTGTTGACAATCTTTTCGATCTGCTTGAGACACGATCGTCAACTGTTTTCGTTCTATTTATCAAGTTCGCGTATTTATAGTCATTAGCTTCCCATATGTAAACGGTAAACCCAATGGTAAAATTGAAAAAGAATTTTAAAATTGGTTGGTTTTATCCGCGGATCGTTTAGCTCAGAATAAAAACTTGAATCCGGCAAACCTGATGCCTAGCCAAGAGAGCACGATAAAAACAACAGCGGCGCGGTACCGCGTGTTACAAAGCCACTCGTCGCACAAACACATACGCGTACACAAGCCCGGAGAGGTGACCCACACAGTGTCGCATGCAAGCGTACATTCGCAACACAGGCACACGATTAAAAGAGAAACTCACTCCAGAAATAATGCACAGTATCCATCCAAGTCGCGGCGGCGAAGGAAGGGTTTGCTTGTCCTGGATTATCAAGAGGCGAAAGAGCGCGAGAAAGACAACACCAGCGTGGCGTGTTTAAGTTCCTCGAAGGTTTATCGTGATGGGTGTCGTCGTCGCGATCGTGGTCGCCGTCGTCTTACGACGACGACAACGCTTCCCGCTCAAAACTTTTCTCGGTCCGATGGTCGAAATATCCGTTCCCGTATCTCTGCACTGGGCACTCACTGGCCGAGCATCGAAAACGCACCGCGTAACGCGCTAAACACCGTCTACATTCCCCGCGGATATATTTCGCGCGGAGCTTTTCCCGCGTTTAGTTTTGTTGACGCACACGCGGCGACGGTAACGCGGCCAGAGTGAGACGGAGAGAAACGCACACACACATATAACACGCGAGTACCGAGCGGAGAAAGAGCGGGGAACGGAGGCAGAGGTAGAGAGCGAAAGAGAAAGAGAAAGAGATCGCGCGAGAATGACAGGAAAGGGGAGAAAGACAGACGCGTATGTAGGTAGTACGTCGACGCACGTACAAAGTCGAGAGGAACGGAGTACGTGCGAACACTTGGTTTGGTCCTGGCTAGGAGAAAGAAAATCCGTCGCTGGCACCGACGCTCCACCTCCAAACCGGAGAACAAGTACGAGTTCGTGTTATGTATCGCCGCGGTCGCGAACGAAGTGCGTGTTCGCGCGCGCACAGTTTTGAAAACAACGACACCGGTACGCCAAGCCGGTACTATATAGTACGTATGTATCTCTTAACGTTTCCTCCGTTTCCTTCGTCCGACTCTTTTTCCTATCCTCCGCGAATTCGTCTCTTTTACTCGCGCGGTTTTTCCGCACGCACACGCCGCCGCGGATCAATAATTCACCATACGAATCTCACCAGAAGCGGGTGAGCGAGCGGGCTGGCACGCTGGCACTAGGCAGAGGCACACGTTTCTGTCGTGGCGCGCTCTCCGTCGGGGAAACGCACGCAGCCCACCACCACCGGCACACCGATCACGCTTCGTCCTAACCTCCTCGACGAGTCCGTGGCATACGCTGTACACTGTACGGTGTACGCCGAGTCGTACACGTTGCCAGAGTGACTGCACACGCTTCTCTCTAACACATTCACGCGACGTCGCGTTCTCTTGACACACAGCTGACACAACGCTCGTAAACACGCGACAATCGGACAAAGACGGATGCACCGATGCACCACCAAACTCCACGGTAGATGCGATAGACCGGCACGACTCGAGCTCTTCGTTTATCAAACTGATCCCGCTATCGTTTCATCTCTCTTTCATTCGCTCCCTCTCCTTCTTATCTTTCTCCTATCCTTTCTCGCTCCCTCACGCATACATGCTCCCTCTCTCTTTCCCCCCGAGTGGTAGTAGGAGCAGCACCACTAGCAGCAACACGGGGCTAGCAATGCGAACATCACGGTCACCGGAAATACGAACCCGACGATCACGACACATGAGGAATATAGGAGGAATCGGTAGTATCTTTTACCGATTCGTAGCACAGTCGCGACCGTATAACCCCGGCACTCGTACACGTTCTCGTAACCGTACACGCGTTCACGCAGTCGGTTCGCCTGTATCTTCTCTTTTCCTCCTAATATTTCTCTTTATCGCACGGTTGGTACGTCGTCACGTCTCTTTCTTTCGCGGAGCGTCTATCGCTCCATCTGTCTCGCTCCTTTTCGTCCGTCTGTCCGTCTGTCTGTGTCCGACGGTGTGTATATCGCCGTCGTCGCTGCTGTCGAATCCGTTCCGTGCGCGGCCCCTGTGTGGGACGACGCCGCTGGGACACACGGGCGTGGACGAGTAGACGCGCTCTTTCGAGGACGTTTCGACACTATATTCTTTAATGTACTTACCACTGGGCGAGCTGACGTGGCGTCGCGCGCGCGCGGAGCCTTTTACACCACCGGGAAAATTCGCACAGTAATATTAGCGCGCAACGCTGCACCCCGGTAAATACGAGCGCAGTCACCACTCTTGTTTTTGGTATGCCAGGAATGGCACAAAGAATCTGGACAACGCACACGCCTGCTGCGCAGCCGGTCTGCGCACACGCTGACACCGCTTATGCGGCCGCGGGAGAAACCAGAAGCCGAGCGCGGCCGACGATTCGCGAACTCTATCGAACACGACCGACCGTCTACCCCCACTCAACGCTTTCGGAACCGTCGTCTCCCTACTCCCCGCGCGGGAGATCAGTCGCGTCACGCACGTAATAGAGGTTGGATGTTGTTGCTCGCTCACTCGTTTATCCTTTCTCGCTCGACTTTCAGAGGCACTTGTTGAATTTCAGGGGTTGCGTCTAGATTTTTCGGATGAACCTTTTCATAAATAACCAAGTACCGATTCGTTAACCGTAAAACGGCTTCTATACTCGTACACGCACGTATTTTTTATACGATTCGACACGAAACGTGTAACGAATAATACCGTTGTGGGAATAACATTATAAGACTGTATGCTTGTTCGTATTATTTTTTATTAATTTTATTTGTTCGAACGAATATGCCATCATCGAAAAAGTAAACGAAACAAATTCGAATATTTTTTTGTTGAAACGTAATTTTATCTAAACGAATCAAATTGTAATCGTCTGTTTATACTTGTTTCGATCAAATTTCTTTCGTTTCACGATGCGCTAATAACTGGAGTTGGCGATATCGTCGATATCGTAATCTCCAAGTTACCGCTCGTAAGCTAATCTGTGGGTACTTTTTCGGTAACAGACCGACTGGAACCATCTGTGTACTTAACGGATCAAAGGGATTAGCCGATGGCAGCCGTGTGCGAGACGACTGACCCGCTGCAAGTGCATTGGTTTATTGTAAGATTACCAAGTGACATTCATGCTGCTTTCTTTGGAAAACAACGTTCCACCCTTTGTCACCCTTCAAGGTGCTTTTCCTTCATACCTGTACGGTAATTTTCTTTAAAGTTAACTCGACTAGTCCAAGTTTCTTCTCGACGCGAAATCTTTACCATAGGTTTAGACCCTTTCAAGGGTTTCGAATCGTCTATACGATTCTTAATAGAAAAATTGCAAAGCGAAATTTAATTTTTCAATGCGTCTTTATCAATATTATCAAACTTCACAGGCTGGTAGGAATATTAATTTTTTTTGGTGATTCACATACATGGTGTTTCATCGTTGAAAAGATGCCTATTTAACTTTATTATTTTCTACGACACAAAAAAATGTTTTAGATATACTGCGAGTGGTTTTAAAAAGTAAGTATGGTGCAGGAGAGATTGTTCAACGGTTTCGTAGCTACTGATATTTGTTTTACGCGGAAACATATTATTTTTCTTGTACCTTGTAACAGAAATTAAGAATTATCTGTTAATTAAGCTGATATTCAACTCAAACATTTTAAATCAGACATTAAACTTATTTTTTACGAGTCTCTTGGCTTCGATGATGGGAGAAGACGTATTGCGAATAAGTATCATATTTGAATGGCACATTACAGATGTGTACATGGTCTGTTATCACTAATTATTAAGGTATTCTGCCATCGTACCTGTAAATATTTCGCGATGCGAAATCGACTACATCGAAAGACGGCGATTAGAATGATTGGAGTTCCTATTAACCATCACAATTGAAAATATTTACTATTATAAAAGGTGAAAACTCATCGCATCATACAATTCGCCAACTTTAGTAGCAACAATGTTCACAAATATTGTTATTTTATTTAAAAAATCTAAATACAAATTATTTTGTTGTCATACATTATACGTATACTAAACACCACCGAACAAATTTTCCGTTAGGTCAATAGCTATCGAAAAGAAAATTGTTGAATATAATTATGACTTTCACGCGTCCAAAATGGCCTCCTCCCTTAATGCGTTTGGACTTGTATTTTCTGTTTTTACTTATTTAACATTTAGTGTTAATTTATAGTATAGCCAATTGTATGAAAAATCTTAAATAAAAAATTAAACTATACATCTGAGTAATTTCAACTTTTTGAGGTGAGCATTAAAGAACATTCCGTCAAACATAAACAGTTAAATAAAAGGTGAAACAGTTATTAGTAAAACATATAACTCTAAAAAGTTAAAGTGAGAAATGTAAGAATCAAACGTACCGAAGAAATTACTGAGACATATGTGTCTCAGCAGCTGAGAAAGGGTTAAGTGGATATCGTTCGATACCGTTGACGCCTAAGAGGCACCGTCCAAGCTAGAGCCTGTGCGCCTCTAAAACAGAATACACCGCAATTGTCTCGTTTTTCAATCGCGATCAAAGGTTAACTGCAATTAAAATCTCGCTTTTCAGTTGCAATCGAAGTTAATTGTAATTGAAACTAAAATTCGAATTGATCGAACGAACCAATTGAAAATTGAATTGATTAATATGCAACACTATATTATACAAGTTCACCGTTGAATGTGTCCTGTGCGCAGTAATTTAAGCGATTATTTGATTACCATAAACAATCCGGTTGAAAAGAAAACACGATCGAATGTTTCCCGAACTGTTCGAAGGAACGAGTTCACTCGTGTAGCATTCAGTGTGTTTCATACAGTCGCGCGCACAGACATGGAACGGGCGGGCAGAAATGCGATTTAAACATGACAAAACGGGTAACGTTCGTAAAATCGAATGTCACGTATCAAAATGACGATCAAAGCGTGCCTTTTGCACGTAGACAAAAGCGGCCGTAATTAATGCTTTTATACGGGAGCTGTAGTGCAAGCTCCTTTTGTCAGTTGGACACATTGTGCTCCGCAAATGTTTACGAACGATCACAGAGTAGCGGAGCGTGCACGGTGACAGACTCGCCGCCGGGCTGAAACGTACAGTTTTCGTGCCGGTTTTCAGTGCGCGCGACACATTGAATGGGAAAGGCACGGTCCGATTTCACCCGCGAGGTTTAATTACTTAATTACGCTAACGCTCGATTTTCGTGACGTGTCGACGAACCACGCGGACTAAACGATTCCGTTAGTTTCACGGCAATTCCGTGCTCTACGCCCTCTTCGTTCGCGATTAAACTATGATTCTGCGATACACATTCGGAAATTCGTTTCACCGTTGTTCTCTTTAATCCTTTGCGCCGTACACTCGCTTTTGACAAAACCATTTGTCCATGAAACTCTTAAGGGAAGGAGACTCTAGTAAAACGCTCGGGAATTTATTGTGATCAAATGGTTCAATAAAATTATTTGAAATTTTGTACACGGTTGTATACGTAATTGAAATTACGGAAAAAAATGTTTATATTAAAATTCATTGGTTCTTTGAAACGCAAATTTGCGTAACGTCTAACGGTTGTTGAAGTTGTCTCGGAGTAAACATTCAAAAAGATTTCTATTGTTAATCGTTGTAGAAAAGGTTTGAACCTAAATATAGTAAACAAAATATTAGAAATTCACGAAAACACCGTCTATACAAAAAAGATGTTGTTTTTAGATGCAAATTGTGTTGTGAATATAGAATAAATAAGCAAATAAGCAAATAAGCAAATTTGAAATAAGTAGTTCGAGAAAAATGCGTTTCTTTTTTTTTTTCATTTTTCTTGAGTCTCCTCCCTTAAGTCACCTCTGAAGTGATGTTTCGTACAATAAAACAAATTAGTAAGACACAATCTTATTCAAAAACTTTATTAGAAAGTACGATTGTCGATACGTTGAACATTATTATCGATACTTTTATAATAGCACCGATTAATTACTCTCGCGATGAAAGAAAATAACAAGTCTTGTTTTCATTTGGCTAATGAAGATCAAAGCAGCAAATTTTGTTGTCTTCATTCCATTCTCGAATAAGAGATGAGAATTTCATGGAAATGCAAGCGCATTATAATTCTAGAGTTAAATGAAACGTCGTACACGTGATTCGAGGGACGTTCTGCGATGCACCGCGTTATGCAACGATGCATTTTGCATTCAGTCGTATCCGAGAACTCTGCCTAGTATCGAAATATAAGTTCATCGACATTGTCAACTAACTGCACCTGACCGTTGCAAGAAATTTGCAGTGTCGTCGGATCGTTATTGCATCGCCTCCGCGAACAGCGAATCAGTGTTCACTTTTTGTTTGTTAGATTGAACTGTATTACCTGTGAAATCTGTGTACTTTTTCACAATTAATTAAATTACATAGAGGAATTTGTCACTACTTTGCTAATCGAAGATTTTTCATAAACTACAGACATTAATAAAATGACTCGAATTAAACTTTTTTCATAAATTACACATAATAATAAGATGGTTTGAATTAGGCTTTTATAATGTATACAATACGAGTATTAATATGTCATGACATTTTTTAAATAATACTCATCGTGTCATTGTCAAATCATCCAGGGCTGAAGTTTCTTGAAATTTTTATTATCATTAATACTTACTATTAATATTTTTATATAAAAATATCGGTAATATCGACAAAATTAATTTTCAATTCAGCTCTGTACAAGAATATAAACATCATTCAAAAGTATTAACAGAAAGACGTGGTTTGCAAAAACCATTCGTAGAACGAGAAATTTTATTCATTTGTACCGGCAGACATAGTAGACATAGTATCCCATTTATCACTTAAAATTTATTCCAATAGTAAAAATCACTCTATTATATATTTGTATATACAAATTTATTAATGGAGTCGTATTATCCGTCACGAATTTTCTGGAAAGTTGAAAATTTAGATTAATTATAATGGTATATTGTGCTATAAAGTGATTCAATATATTAAAGCAAACTTGTAATTATCGTTTCGCAGAACTTGTCGCTATTGTTCCCGTTTCGTTGAAAACTCCACTAGAGGACACGGAAGCCGACCAATTTCAGTTTACGCTTGAATTTGTGACGTCGCGACAATGGCTAAATTGTATTCGGATATCGCGTTCATAAAGCAGACGCACAATCAAATTATTACCGACATCATGACCTTTCGGGCTCTTTCGAATCTCTGCGTCAGACAGAAATGTCATTAAAATGTTATTCACTTTCGACGTTAACGTTCATCCGACACGAAACCGTACCAGTTTAGAATGCAGTATATAATGCAATTCTGTTTTTTTTTTTCATAAGTTTTGTACTGAACATTCAACAAAAAGGAAAATTTAAGCGATTCTGAACAAGTTCTGTCCAATCAGAATTTAATTTGGAGCACCGGAAGTAGTAAACAAATTTTTGAGAAAACAATGACAGTAAAATTTGCGGGAGTTTGGAGACGCGGTTACCTTGATTAGAGTATTGTCTTCTAGAGTAAAAGAGACAGTCAATTACCATAAAGGCAGTGTTATTTAAATTGCCTTATTTCCTTTTAATTAAAGTAAATTTCAAATAAAACACTTGAAAGCGTTGGAAACTGCTGGTAACGAAATTGAAATATAACTCAGAGTGCAAAGGGTTAAGCTTTCCTCTCAATTTTGTCCGTTGCATTTTGTATAATGCACATTCAAAAATATATGTTGATTCGTCTCTTCATTTTGGTCACAATCATATCTACTTTTTTGAATTATAAATTATTTGACGAGTGACCCTGCCGGGTAAAGCTTCGGTTAACGTCAACTAAGGAGAAGCAAACCGTGAAAGCTTCTCACATCCTACGTTTTCATCTTCTTATTTTGTAGTCGCCATACCTAATCAACGTCAGGCGTTCTATCGCGTTCAATCGCGCCGAAAGAAACCAGTTTCCAGTCTCCATTAATATTAAAGCACAAAGACAGGAGTTTCCCGACGCTTAAGTTAATTTAAAGCGATGAAAATTCCGGGAATAGAGAAGATTTGCGATGTTCATGGCGGCAATTTCCTCGTATTTTTCTGAGAACAATTTTTGTCAGCGAGCGTCTTTATCGCGAGCTTTACGAGGTCGTCAGCCCCTTCGCCGTCGATTCTGTTATTTTAAAAAAGAGGTAGAGGCGTTCGATTCATCGAACCTTCGCATCACCTCATAAATTTCAAAACATTTCTTATAACCAGCGGATGTTCAGCGGGAGTAAGATTCCTGACGGATCTTATCGCGACGAGGATTTACTTGGCGACAACCTACGAAATATTAAAATATCGCGTAAACGGTGCATTGGGAAGATTCTTGCGACGCCTGCAGGACAGAAATGCCGTCTGCAATATCATTTTATCGCTTTAAACTTTAAACGTGTTTCTTTGTTGAGGACGATGGAAAATGGTCGATTTTGGGAAAAAAGAAGGACTAAAGAAATACAAGATAACTATGCATATGGAAGTGATTAATATTAACAAAAACATCAAATTAATTTTCGAGTCTCATGTCACTGCTAAAAAAAGATACATAATCTACATTTTCGAAAGCCCAACTACCATCCCCGATCACCAACCGAGATGTTCTCAATCGTGCAAACAGTCCTTAAAAAATAACAATAAAATTAGTCAGTTTTAGTTATAAGGGTGCAAAGTCGAGTAACTTGACTGTGACACCTAATGTACTAGTCTTACAATTGTTCGTATTTTACATTCACTTAATTCTTACTGTACATTATTTTTTATTATTCTCTGGCATCTCCACCAAGAATGACAGCAGTCTTGGCTCACTGGCTCACCTTATAGTACGAGTTCCTCGGGATTATTAAACTTGTCCTATAGCTACAATCGAACATAGTTAATAAAAATAATATATGGTATATATATATATACAATTAAACATAATTAATAAAAATAATCAAGAACTGAGTGTTCTTGGTTGTTGTAGTTCCATTATGTTGTTTCTGCTTGCTTTCAACTTCTGCACGACTTATAAGTGGCATGAATTTTTGGGACGACCTAATATATAGCCGTGTTTGCGATTCACTATCACTCTGTGTTTGACGACTATACATGTCGTAGCGTGATTCTCACGGCACACATAGGCGCGCGGTTTGAAAAGAGGATGGCACAGCCGATTGGTTAAAAAGAGTGTCGGAGGTGAGCGAAGATGTGAGAGCAGGAGTACTGATATCGCATCGGATGATAGCCGAACAAACGGGGAAACGAGGAAACGAGGGTCTGAGCGAACGAGGAAGAAGACGTAGAAGCGTAAACGGGAAAGGTGGCGCAGGAAGGGTAACCGTCGGGAGACGCGTACCTCACCTGGCATACCAGGAGAGTATCGCGACACATTTTGATCGAATTCTTCTCGAGGTCGTGGAATGCCGGTATCTCCGGTAGATATTATTACATATTTAGGCGGAACGGTGCGCTCTCGGGGGTAATACACTTAGACGTATTCTCTCCCTGCGCGTTGCTGTCGGGGGCTGGTGCTGCTGGTGCTGGCGATGGTGGTAGTAGTGGTGGTGGTGCACGGGGATATGTATCCAGCTTTACTCGCGCGCACCGCTCTATACCCGTGCCTCTCTGCTCCGACCTCGAAGGATCGCAGTTCTGCGCGATATCCTGCATATCTCGGCATACCGTCCTCGTCGTTTCCGACATTGTTCCCCGGCCCCGACCCCGACCCCGGTCCCGGCTCCAGCTCCGATCCACCAGCGAATAATCCTACTCGTTCGACGTCTACCGGGCCCGGCTTCTCAGCTGAATTCCACTCGATTCTGGTACTGTGCTTGCAGGGTGAGAATCCGCCGCTGTCCACGATAATTGAACGCCTTCTTTCCGAATGCGTCGTCCGACATCTTGATTCCTCTTGAACCCTTCCACGCTCTTGAAATAATTCAACCGTTCGTTACCAACGCGGTACGCGGTATAGCGCATCGATACAAGTCTATCGATATACAATCGTCAGGGCAAGTCTCGATGCTCGAGTTGATAAATACCAACTACCTACTTTTCATCGACACATTTCACAACGAACGATCATCCGGAGTTTCTATTACCGATATTGCCATTCGTGTGATCGAACTCGTCGAGTGTTCGCCATTTGCCCAAACGTCAACGTCGGCTTCAACTTTCGGGGTCTCGTTCGCGCAGAATTTTCGTCCTTGCCGATTCAAGTTTAGAAAGAAAGCAGTTTTTAATAACGGAGCGATACAGGATAAAAAAACGGAAGCACTTTCTGGTAAGTTTTATTCTCTTCTTTAAAACAATATATTGAATTTGTATCCTGTGAAGTGTGTTTCGTAGGTTACGATGTATCGAAGCGTCCCGTTTCTTGCTCTAGAGGTGTCGTTCAGTTGGTCAAAAATGAAATTGCGACTACGAATAGGATTTTTTTTGTTTAATAAACCGCAAATGGTATGGAGTGCATCCGAACTTTTTATATTAAATGAAAGGATACACTGTTAAGCCAGACCTAGATTTGCCGTAGATTTGCATTTTGGGGGTGGAAGAGGGTGGGGCGGATCTATAAGCTAGACCTAACCGCTAGATTCCTAACACTAAAACTTGTACTTTTGCGTTACAGGCGTCAAAAGTTACTAAATGGTAAAAAACAAAAGTCAATAATTTGGTGTGCCCCAAAGTAAAGTTTTGACGGTTTGGAATTAAATTTGAAGGATGATATAACGATCAATCCCATAAATATTCGCACCCTCTGTATCTATTGAAAAACTTTGACTAAATTAAATAGTAATTTTAATATTAACAAATGAATTTTTATATGTACATCAACATATTTATAACGTTTAATTTAAACATAGAAGGTACGAATATGTATGAGATTGACTGTAGGAGGTGAATTTCAACTCTTTCCGCGATTTCTTTAAATTGATAAAAACAAAAATACCCAAGTAGTATAGTGTTAAATCAAATTATACACAAGAGCTACAAAATGGTATATCACATGAGCCGTTCATTGCACAAATCGATTAACTCCATAAAACGAAAAGTCGAGAAATGCGATGAAATAATGTACATTGTTATTTTAAATTCCCTTCACAATATAAACTCAAATAAATATCGTAGAATGCGTAAATACAGATGTAGCTTTCATCTAACGGTATATAAAGTTAATAAGAAAGAATAGCTAAAAAATAATCGTCGATAGCGTTACAATTTTTACGTAACTGGTGGAGTTAATCGATTTGAGCAGTGAACAGCCCATATGTAACATAAAACTTGAGTGCCCTTCTTCGCTTTCAATATTCATTAAAAAAGATAATATTATCGATTATTTCTGCAATAGGTATGCTCCGAAAGAATAATCGAAACAAAATTGTTCTAGAAAAAGATCTGCTTCGGAAGCGTTCGTTCCAAAGTATGTAGAAGAAATTTAGGGGAAAGTGGGTTCAGATTTCTGGAAGATGTTCGCGGATACGGAAGATGCGTCTGACGTCGACAGAGATTTTTACAACGCTCTGGCTCTGCTACATTCAACGGACGACGACAGCGCGGACAGACTTCGTAAAATGTTGGATGCGACCATCGAGAGGAAGTGCGGTTTTGACAAAACTTTAATGGCAAGCATGCCGAAGAAATTTCTACAAAATACCAAAATTCGTGGGAAAACGTTCTCGAGCGGCAAGTTTGACAACCTCCACTGTGTCGTCTCGCGGACAACCGGAAGTGCCTCGAACAAGTCCGCGAATCTGACATTTCTCGTGGATAGCGCCATGGAGAAAAATTGGAATACTGTACAAATATTGGAGGCAGAGGTTGAAGATTACACCGAAAATGGGGACATTCCGCGGATTTCCATCCCAGACGAGGGATCGGGAGATGGACTCGTGTGCAAGGTATACGTCTAATTAATTATTATAATTATACAATTTGATTCTTCTTCATAGGTTCTTCATAGTTGACGATAACACATTGCTGACGGTGTACAGTACATTTTATAACACGGTAAAGCGTTACATGTATCTGTGAAATGGATCAAACACGTTTTTGGGAAATATGCGACTATTTAAAACAATGTAAATGTTCTATTTAGTGAAATCTTTTATTAAAAATTGATGGGTACAGGTATTAATATCTATTGTACACATAGTATATAATTAATATTGTGTAAATCAACCAAACTAAAAAATTGCAAATTGCATTTTTAGAGGTGTTTTTGTTTTCAGAAATTAATTAAAAGCAATGAAAAATTCAAGTAAGCTATTTTATTAAATGCATATTAATGTGTAAAAACAACATTTTATTATATGTTTTGTTTATACCAAAAATCGTAAAATTAGTGCAAAATTTATTCTTCTTCCTGCTTTGTTTTAATAAAATCGACATCATCAGTCTCTTTAGTGATCGGAGATGTCTCCTTATTTCAGCGCACCCCTCAATTAACGATTCCAATTTTACTTTGTGGAACGAAAGGTCTGCAACGGAGCAAAATTGGGGCCACTGATTCTGCTGGAGTGTCAAGACTGTCAGGAAGTCTACCACCCCCTTTGTCATCAGCCTCCCGTCGTTGACATCGACGTCTACGATCCTAGAATCGTCTGGCGATGCAGCAACTGCATGGACACCGCTTCGATAGACGCTGCTGTCGCTTTCGATGAAAGGAAACCGAAAGAGTTTCATCAGCACAACGACGAGAGCAACAGGAAAGAAGCTTTTACGAAAATGGACAAATTGGAAGAAGCGGACGCGCATTCTTCGAAGAACGAAACTTGTATCGTCGATCAAGATTTATTGGGTAAACAAACGATTTTCAGCGTGTACATTCCTCTTGCTTTCATTGCACGTGACTCGAAACGACCATGTTTTTAGATGTTTTTCAAACGACTGCTTGCACCGAAGAAGCTACAGTATACGCGAAGGATTCTTCTCAGGGAAACCAGAAAACTATGAGAACCGCATCGTCGAACCAGTTGAAGAAACGAATCGGATCGAAACTTTCGGTGACCCGCGCTGTAAGCAAACAATAACAATGTTCTCAACTGAAAGCATACGAACTACTTCCTGCATTTTCTGACTAATTGATTTAATGTTTCAAATACTTTTGTAGACTGATATAGTTCATTGCACAAATCGATCAACTCTGTGAAACAAAAAGTTGAGAAATGCGATGAAATGGGCTCGGAAATAAATTATTTATTATTCAATGCTTAACAAAATTTTGTCGTTAAATGGTGTTAATCTTTATTATTCAGGAAAGTTAATCGATTTGTGCAATGCATGGCTCAATTAAAGCTAGACACTAGCAAGGAAAACTGGGCGATGGCACAGATCTGAAATCGTAAAAACCAGGCTAAAATTCAAAAAATGAAAGTTCCTGTATCGAAATGAATACAACGCCATATTGTTTAGTGACAAGAAGTGCATTTCAGGTAAAATTGTCAAGAAACTTTTTCGCGATTTTAGGGCACTGTGCGATAGTAAAAAAGAAAATTTGGAACGATCTGTTCATGCACGGTACGCTTTATTTATTAATCGTCCTTTACATGTATCATACAAGGCGAAATCCATCTTAAAACGATTTTTCAGCTTTTAACAAATGAACGCAATCTCACACTTAATTCCCGCGAAAGAACAGTCCGATCACAGTGCAGGGCACGTTGCTTAAGCCGATTACTGATAACATACGTTAAGTTGCCAGCAACTTGTTCGACGCAGCAACGAATCGTTCCGATTGGCAGAGAGGAAAAGCAACGGTGACGCGTGATCGAGATTCGATCAACCCTCTATTTTGGTCATTTTACATACTGAGAAGTTTTCTGTCTCGTTCCGTTTGCTCGTTCCTTCTCTGTATTAAGGTCAACGGAGTTCAATTACCTTCGGCAACCATGCCGAAGTTTTAATCAGGCTTGATGCTCAATCACTTTCGCTCTAATTGATCGTGCGTACAAGAGGAGAAGATCAAGTGTGCACGTGAAGCGCTAGAAAATTACCGATCGCCGTGATTCGATGCCCGATGTGCATACACCGCGACTATTTCCTCCAATTAATTATAGTTACGCAACGTGGACAATTGTGCAAATTCTTCTACTATTATTACGTTTACGAGTGCAATTCATTTATACTTCGCTATCAATTTCTTTACATTTTATCGTCGACGCAGTACAGGGTCCCGCAAAATACATAGGACGATTTGTCGTGAATGCTACAATTACGAGCTGTGAGCTATTACTTTTTTCATAATTTAACTCAATTTTCGTTTTACGACGGAGGATTTAACTCTTAAAATATAAATGAATTGAATTCTGCATTTCAATTTAGTTTTATATCAACGACGCAGATTTGAACTTGTCGTAAGCTCTGGGTATACCTGTATGTATTTTGAAACACCCTGTAATTTACAACGTTAATTCACAAATTGCAATCAAGTACAGTAATTCCCACCTCCGAACGACAAAATTGAAATTGTCGATTAACTTAAAAGCGGGGTTGTAACCCAATGTAACAAAATAAATTGTGTACTTTTTTCGCTGTTATCGTTCTTTACGAGAGGACGCCAGTACAAAATGCGTAATACGAAACAAAATACAAAATAGGTGGCGAGGTTACGGGAGTTTAAATTAACCCTTTCAGACCTCAAGTATTCTTTTTTCTCGTAGTAATGTGATTTCATTTTTAGGGTTAACTTGGTCTAAAATTAGTATGGAAAAAATATTTTAAAAAAAACCCTAATAGTGTAGTTTTGGAGGAAAACTGATCTTTCTTCACGTGCACAAGGACATTCGCCCTAAACGATAGTGTCGATAATTTTTAAATGTTGTGTCCTCAATTGCGGATGCCAGGTCTGAAAGGGTTAAGCCACATAGCTCACGAAAATCGTGCGGTTACTCGTACATACATCGAGTACTTACTTATATCTTTATAAGAGTATTTCTGTTATTCACGAGTGATAGGGTTTATATATACTTAAAAATAGTCCTAACAAGATTACGTTTAATCTCATATTCGTCGAAGACAAAAATCTCACCATGTTCGTCGGTAATACTGTCACGAAAAAATACAATGAAAAATGCAAAAAGGGTAATGTATATTAACGGATGAAAATGATCATAGGTGACTTGTTCACGCTACGCAAATTTAAACGATACCGATAACGATTTCGTTAGTTAAATTCAACGTAAAAGTTGTCGCTCGAAAGCGGGAATTGCTAGAGTATCGATTCGATCCTAGTTAAAAAATTATTCTCTTGGCCTGCACTATGATTTACAGCATAATCGTTACGAGACCCAAAAGTGCTGATACGTCGAGTGTTCGTTGACGGGAAGCGTCCTGACAGGAACGAATTCTGTGATAATACGTGTAAGCGGATCTCCAAATGAATGGAAGCATTGTCTAAAACGATTAGTCTCAAAAATAAAACTTACAGAATAAAGAAAGTAGCGCTACTCTTTAATTGCGTTAATTGCGTTAGGTAGCCGGTAGAAGACGATGACGAGTATAGTTCGTAGACTATTATACATAGAAACGGAAAGACGGTAAAATAAAGACAGCCATTTGTGCTGATTATCACAGAATTGTCAAATATTGTTCCGGTTTTTTTTTTTCACAACGCGGTCGATTCATTCGTCCGTTGAACGCGTTTGTGAATCAGAACAAGTGATTCGGTAGCAAAATTATGTTGGAAAATTGGCGCCGTGGAGTAATACGTCCGCATAAAAATTTCTTTCAGAATTTTCCATCCCGGCGAAGAAGCGAATCGAAGCGTTTTTCTAATTCTTCGCCGCGATACGTAAAGAAACACGCTTATCGGCGCAACAGGGTGTTACGTCGTTGAAGTTTCAAGTACCTATCGGGTCGATATGTTTTTCATTACCGGCGTCATTATTGCTGAACAATTTAATTTGGAATTATACAGAAAATACTGCGCAGACCTCGAAAGATTGCTCCTGAGTGATCGCAATGGTATTAAATTAATTTTTTTTTTTAAATATCACGTTATAGAGAATGACAAAAGGACACTTTTTTTATATTTACAGTTTATCCATCTGAAGTTTAGTTTCAAAAATAAAAATTCGAAACTTAAGTTCTCCATCTCGAAATTCAATTGCATTCGCAACGGTGAAAATGAAAAGAATTTTTAGCTGAAAATTACCCATTTGTCGAATTTAAAAAAAAAATATCACTTTATATAAAAGAAACTGTTATTTGAAACTGTTATTTAAACTATTATTTGAAATTGAATCCAAGGCATTTTTTCAATACCAACAGTTTTTTTATTAATGATTAAAAATTTTAAGATTAAGAATTTAATTCTAAAATCAAATAAATACAAAAAAATTCGTAATAAATTAGAAACTTGACATTGAAAACAAGCTTATAACTATAAATTTGTTCATTTAAATGTCGTAATAACAAAGACATTTAATTAATTAAAATTTCATATAGATTTGTCTCCGATTGTGCCTCCCATACATCCTAGAAAATGGATCTGAATCTAATTTTGAAGGACGAATATATGTATACGCCCTCCGCAGTGAAAGAGTTAACTGTTAGTTTTACGCGATAGAAAACAGCGACGCAACCTTTCCCAAAAATTCCGATCACTGAGTCTCGTTTCCATCCACAGGCAATCTTTCCAGCTCCCTAGTTTTCCAACACACGCTTAATATCAAGTCTACGAAGCTCATTCTGGCACGCAAAATTTCTGTATCGTTTACAAAACCGAAACGGGAAGAAAATATACTTTGCGTGCGCAGTTAATAACATTACATAAAATATCAGCTCACAACCAAATATCACTATTCTAGAAAAATAGTCGGAATAATATCGTTAGGAATAAGAGTCTAACAAATATTTCTATCGATACTTGTTTTTCTTTTTTTCTTTTTCTTTCTTTTTTTTCTTTTTTTTTTTTGTTCAATGACATTCATCGACATTTCTCTCGCTAATAACTCTCCTTTGATCACTCTGAGGGTGTGAACGTATCTTTACGATGAATTGGAACGTCCCACAGTGGTCTGAAATCGTAAAAACCTGGGCAAAATTCAAAAAATGAAAGTTCCTGTATCGAAATGAATACAACGCCATATTGTTTAATGACAAGAAGTGCATTTCAGGTAAAATTTTCAAGAAACTATCTTTTATACCCGACATGGTAGGTCAGTTCAAAGTTGTAACTGTGTTTCAGTGAGTGTGATTTTTTGTTGAAGTGATATATTTTAATTCTGTAAAATAGAGATATTATTCATCGACAATGGGTATATACTAAACATAAGTTTAAAGAGTGCCCGCGAAAAACAGTAAATTTACAAATAAAATTATTTTCAGTGAAGGCAAAAGTTATGGATTCCGTGATATCCCGCGTTGTTATTACGCTCGATCTTTAGCTTAGGCTACGTAGTATTGAAATATTAGAAAATAAGCTGCGGTAATCTGCAGTCTTGGTTTTCTGATCAATTTTCGTTTAGACGCGCACGATTATTTCGAATGGCGCGCGACGGTCGGATACATGTCGGCCATATTGAATCCGTAATTTCGAATTTCAAAATTTTGATGTCAGATTCGTAATCAGGGACCACAAAAGCCATAATGTACCAATTTTACGCAAATCTAATAAATTTCTAATATACATCGTGACCGTGTTGAATCTGCCACTTTGAATTTCGTAATTTTGATGTCAGATTCGCAATCAGTGACCGCAAAAATTATAATGCTTCAATTTTTATATTTATCTTTCAACTCGTTCTCTTTTTGGCTAGGTTTTCGCGATTTCAGACCACTGTGCGTCTTCGTGGTACAATTTCACGTTAACTCGTAGTGTAATTTTGAAGTTCGAGCTAAAACTCTTCTCGCGAATGCTAAGGTGCGTGCATGCATGCGACGAGAAAAATTGACGTATAATTATAATTGAAAAACCGATTATCGAGTCTTTCGACGGTCGCTACCCGGATGCCTGCAATTTCAAGCGACTCGAACTTACTTACTGATATATAAAGTTCTTCGCCTAAGTTTTTAACTACACGTGCACTCGCTATATGTACAAATCGCGGGGAGGAGCAATGTGGAAAAAAGTGGATATCGTTATTCGTCGCTCGATGCGTCCAATGTATAATTATTATTGTAATTATAGTGGCCCGTCACTCTGCTCCAGAACCAGCTTTCGACTACTTTACATAATGAATCTCTGCTCAAACCGCAGGGGACATTCAGCCTAATTCATGACAGAGTCATCGTGCCAAGTGGCTGACATCAATTAAATAAAGATTCTGACACATGTCAAGGTTGCTCCAACTTGCACTTCATCAACACGTTATATTCTGGCACCGACGTGACATTTTACATAAACCGTATCAGATTTCTTTGTCTCGAGTCGAGTCGAATCGAGTCGATTGTAACCTCGTCGAAACAATCCAATTGATAACGTTACACGGTAAGTACAGGAGAGCCTACCATAAAATTAAGATGATTATCTATCGAAACGAACCCAACCGAGTAACCAGATACTCTTTCGATCTACCAATAAATAATTCCAAGTTATTCGTCGACCAACTAATATAACTGCATAATTATTCATTTTTCCAAACCATTTCGAAAGAAGAATTTACAATTGTCTCGCTTTCAGAGTATTCTTAGTATCGATATCTTATATTCCGCCTACATCTACCGATGAACAGCCTACAAATATACAAATTAATTTGACTTTCCAAAGATAATTGAGAAGAACGCACGATAAACAACCGATTGCAATTGAACGTGTAAAACGGTTTAAACGATTACACTGTAGTTAAGAGGTAAGCGATTCATTAAAGATATTTTGTACATCGATTTTAATCTACGTAACACCGTGGGTGCCGATGCCAGTACAGTAAATATATGCAGAGTATCTTTAATACATCACTTGGCACGGATTTTAATGTCTGATAATTGTATCGAAAAAACCAACTGTGACGATCGACGTTTCCCTATCGTGTTTACAAACGGATAGAAACAATCTTCTGTTTTGTAACGGAACTGTTATGATATGTAATTTAAGTGATTCAATATTTAAAGTTACCTTTTTGACCATTCGTCGAAGCGAGTTGCTCAAAATTCAACGATAATATTTCAAAACAAACAGTTGTTACGCAATTATTGTATTTTTTATAAATTTATTTTCGTAACGAAGCTCTGAGAAAGATTCAAAAAACTGTTCAGACATCAAAATACACCGTACAAGGAACGTTTGTATAATAAAGTGCGCAATAATGACACCTTTAAACGTTATCTAAAATCTATCCATGTCTATTTGCATTTCAAACAAAATATATAAGAAGCGTCACACTGAAATATATCATTTATAAAGCTAAACGATGTATTCAGCCCGGTTGTCTTCAAGTATTACACATATTCGTACGATTTTATAAAACTGATTCCGATACCTACATCAACGTGTTTCATCGTAAACTTTGTTTCGCTTAGAAGGTGACTACGTGATAAGTCATGCGCCGATGTTCACGAGGCTTTGTAGCTGAATCAACAAATAATTATTAATTAATAATTAAGCAATAATAATCAGAATTTTTATCTTTATTTTTGTAATTGTAATATGTATTGTGCCTAATTACCGAAGTTAAGTGGTCTGAAATGCACTATATTAACTCAAAAGGAATTGCATTCTCACGAATTCATTACAGAAATTGCATAGACACGATTGAAATAAACCTGTTACCATATCTAAAGCATTTCCTAGACTTTAAGGAATAATTTTTTTAACAACGGTATTTATAATTCAGATCTTGTCGGTAATTAAGAATCAAAAGTTCGGCAGTCTTTTTATTTTTAAAGATACTCTCTATCGTACGACAATACGATTTTGTGAAATTTTGAAAGTTGTAGGAATGATAGTATTTAAAAAAGAAATAGACTTTATTGCAAAACTTTTTTTGAATGTCTTGAGAACTAATTGAAAAGACATTAACGGAAACGAGATTATTCAGAATCAGAGATTACGTCACACGATACATTCAAATGCATCATTTTAATATTCGTAACCGAAGAAATTAGCTATTATAAGAAAACAATATTTCAGTAAATATATTAAGTAAAACATTTACGATTTACGTTATCAATGTAATGTAACTATTCGATGAATTTTACCCTTAATAAAAAAATAAAGAAGGAGTTTTACAAATAACAAATAAATCGATAAAACAGATAACTATCAGAAATAGGATTAAGAAATTTAAATATAAAGTTTGATATTGGTAAAATGTTTTTTAGTTTCCTAGCTGCCTAGTAAGCCTCGTTAAAATAGGCACGCGACATACCATGTGGTCTCCTTCTTAATGTTCTCTGTCAAATATTACTGTGAATACCTTATAGAGGTATTAAAAGAGAGTATGTCGCTCTCGGTTATAAAATTTGGTACAAACAGTTATACGAATTAATTTCTTAAATTTGTTCCATAATTTCGGACGTTATTTAAGCTTTGGTCAGAAATATATTATACAAGATAATTATTGGTTTTAGTTTCTGTTTATGTGTTTCGTAATTATTCAAATGCCAATTATGTTGTACTTAAAGACTGTATGTTAAACATAAACGTAAGTAGTAATTCTTATATTCGTAACATAAAATTGCAATGATCAATTTCAAACGTACAGGACCGATTATGCGTTCCTTTTTGGTTGTATTATATTTTACATAATGTACAACCCATGTATACTTATGCACGGTAAAGTATATTGATATACAGCTGTACATACAACGATGTACAATATTTCTATTGTACCTTAAATTAAGTTTTGCGTACATTTATTATTCCATAAACGCACCCCCGTTAAAGACAAAAGTCACGTTGACGTAAATGCATCCTACATGCTAACAATGCATAAAACTTCATGACGTGACAACGTAATATCGTTTTAATACAGATCAAAAATATAACGACTAGAATTAATTATCGACTAGAATTCTCACTTTGCAAAAATGCTCTAAATAAGCGGGTCTAAAACTCTTGATAAGCCAGCCCGTATCGCGATTTTTCCTTTACACGATTAATTCTTTCTTCCTCTTTCAAATGAACTATACATAGAACCTAAATATGGAATCCCATTAGTTTTTGGACTTTATAGTATTTAATATTGTTTGTATGTAGGATACATATTTATCTAGTACCACTACGAGTTTACCACTACCCAAAAGGCCATTAAAGATTTCATTGCCTGGGAAAATACCAGTGCCATACTTTGGAAGCGCTAGATTTGTTATTCTTTCGGAAAATAACTGGAAGATACATGTTCTTTAAATTAAAAATTATTAACAACTAAATGCAGCAATTTAGATAAAACTATTTTAAGTATTTCTAATCTAATGTATAGCATTGGATCAAACTGGTATTACCTTGTTTAATTATAAATATGAGTTATTTAGAGAAATGTTGTGCATTGAACTGTGTATCCACTTAGTATGTAACATTTTTTGAATCCTTATCAAGACAAATATTTCAAAAAAACCATTTAAATGTAGTAAATATTCATGATACGTACATACAAATATTATCATGTGTCAGCATTTAGTATACCAGTAAATATACTGTAGTCAATATTTTTAAAAATATTTTCGCTCAGACATTAAAATTTCGAGAACTGTTCACAAAATAAATAAATAAATTTTATAAGAAGAGTCTACATTATGGAACATTCAATCAAACTTTTGGGAGTTTATAATCACTTATTATTTTCAATGTCGTATCATGAATTAATTCTGTGACATTTCTCTCTTTTTATTCCTTTCATAAGAAAAACGGTATTTAAAAATAATGATTTTAATTTTACTTTTTAGACGATAAATGTTATAAAATATCACAGAATTCATTAAATGTGCGGTAACTATTTATAAATCCTTTTAGATTCTTTTAATACAGACATATTATGTAAAAAAATGTTCTTCAGTATTTGCCAGCGGATACCCAGCTTTGTGTAATATGTAATTTCATTTTAATTCTTGGCAATAGCACTTCCAGACAGTGGCAGTAGGCACTTTGATTACAATAATAAGATAATGATGAATATAAAATATTATGACGCGTTATTCCGCCTTTAAGGCGGATATACCATTCCCAACAACCAGATGCTCCTTGGGAAAGTCTAGAACTACGGTAACATGAAAACCCATGTTTGCAGAGGCAATCACATACTCGCATAAGGAAAACCAACTAAATGCTGTTAGAGAAAAAACATTTTAATAGGTTTTATGTTTAGTAACTTTAACTATGAATCTAATCTAAATTCAATTGTGCCCTTTACTTATGATTGCTACTTATTAAATATATGTAAATGATATTTCTAGTATATGTTTCACTTATAGGGTACATCTGAAACCGATGATCAAATTGTAGAAACATATTCTATTCATTCTAAGGATGGGGATAATAAATATGGACAATGAAATGATGAATTATTTTTTTCCAATAATAAGTATCCAATAGTACTCGTTATCAAATAGATTAGCATAATATTGAAATCAGTAGCTTTCATTGGAAATATGCAATCAAAACTACAGTAGAAATTCCCGTATCTGTACCCCCATTATCCGAAATCCATAATATACGGACGTTCTATTATCCGCACAATGTGTCTTGTCATGTCGAAGCATTTGAGTCATTTGAAAAAGGACTTCTACGGTTTGAGACACAACGGAAATGTAATTCTACACAGCTGCTTACAATAAAAAATTCATATGACATACCGGCTAAAAAGTAATAGGACCCTTAGATGTTGAAAGAAACTCATTTTTGTTCGTTTCTACTTGAATAAATGATATTTAATGCGAAAGAAAATAATTGTTCTATTATTCAAAAATTCCACTATCCGGCCATTTTTGTCTTCCTATTAGTTCGAATACGAGTCTCTACTGTAATTAATCATTAAAAAAAATTCAAAATTGAAGGAAATAGTTCTTAATAATATCCATAACCAAGAATTTTTACAAAAATCTGTCGTAAATAAGTACTTGCAAGTGGAATAACTGAAAGTTATATCCGTCTGGTGAGTCTCAGTTCCACGTTTACATGGTTCCTCATCACCCTTATAATGAATACAATACACCCTTAAATTCTGGCCACCAATTTCAGAAATTGCCCATATATTTACCCTTCATAATTTCGTATAATATTAGTGCATACATGTATTACATTTAAATTATAAATATATAAATTCTCTTACCCAGATCGTGACACAGTAATCTGTGTTTTAGGAAGAAAATTATAAGTCCAATAGTACTAATAAGACTTGTTACAAAAAGTGCCTGTTTGTATTGAAGACTTTGTGCATTTGGTGTCACAAGGCGACCCAGCCTTACTGCTGTTAGCATATATGTAAGGGAACTAATCATGAAGGCAATGAAGATTTTTTCATGCACCGCTGAAAAATAGGTTTTTACATATTTTTCATTAATCTATTTTGTGAAACATTATAACAGATAATACACATGTAATTAAAATGTACATACAATTATTTGTTAGTAAAATATATATGATAGATATCGACTATCCAAATTCATCACAATACAGATTATTTGATTAGATCATGTCTTATCGACTAGCAAAAGCTTTTAAATATTTTTAAAAAGTCGAAATATTCATATCAAATTACTTTAATTACAGCATCAATGTATAAAGGTATTAATATCAATTATTCTTAGAAGGAATTCCTTAATCGTTTTAAACATGTAATATAAATCTACATTTGACCATGGAATATAAATATTAGTTTAATATTTGAGTCAATACCATTATGGCAGTTTAGTATGTATATACATTAAGAAACATTTAAACTTATTAACAAATACAGTATTAATCAGTTATACCATAATTAATATGTACATTTAATTATATAGCATCACTTATCAGTGTTTTTCATAGTAAATAAATAAAAATATATCATCTTATAGTAAATAGAAAACTATTCTTTTTTCAATTTTACTTACAATAATTCTCTCTGTTGGAGATATATGTAACGCCACATAAAGCTGCTACTTCCGCGATATTCAACCAATAACATAAATTTAAAAGTCTACATCCCGTAATTCTCAAAGGTACATCTTCGATTGCTTTGAGTATATTATAATAATACGCATGATAAACACTGGCTATAATTAAACGAGGACCAATATGTAATGCTATACATATACGCCACAAGTATCGTTGAGGAGATACACCAGTAATGGCAGAAATTGATGGAAGTACATTGTAAACCTAGATTATAAACATTCACTTTTAGTATAGTTAACATGATACAAACAACTACAATTATTTAAAATATCAGATTTATATACATACCCTACAATGTGTTTCGTGAATGTCATCTTGTTGAAAAATATACGCAGTGACAAAGCAGAATAAAAGAGTAATCAGAGGTAAAGATACTGTTGCCAAACATAATTTTTTAAATGATATTGCCACGTATATTGAGCTTTTGTTGCTTCCCACATTATTTAACTCCATAGTGATATTATCTAATATTTTGGCATTTATGCACAAAATAAGAGTGAGGACAGTATTAAATAAGGCTACATTAAGGTAATAACTGAGCCTTATTTTAGGTTCAATTGAAAGTTTTAAAAACTTCTTTAAATTTCATAATAAATCTGTAAAAAATTAATTGTATATTAGTAACACAACAATAAGAACAACAAGCCAATTAAAAGACAAACATGCTACATAAATTTATATATATTAATATCCTACGTATAATTCTGTTATATTGATAATCAAAGACATTGGTCATGAACCTATTTATTTAGTTTTATATTACATTTTAAAATACAGTTAAAATGAACATGCTTGAATTGAATAAATTACACATACTAAAGAGGAAAACTTAGCAAAAAAATGACAGAAGCTGTGTGATGTAAGATTTCGCCTCAAAACTGCTTATTTAAAACGATGAACATATTCGGTTAATTGCCCTATTTTCGGAATTGATTTTAGGGATAACCTACTTTTTCTATTTATAGCAAACAAAAGGTACTGTCACGGGTAACGCAAAGTTCGTGACATTTGGCTGCAGGCAATTTGCGATATGAAAGTAACACTTCTACACACGACACATGCAACAATGCAACTGAACTTTGTTTATGGAATAAACAATTGAGCACAAAAGCTTCGTTAATCTTTCTAACAAGTCGCCAATTGACATTTTTAACTCTCTTTAGTTGCTTTTTTATGACGTGCGAAAAATCATTTCATTTCAATTGTTATACCTGCACAATATTACATTCGAATACGATAATTAGCTGCATAGTTGTTAACTTATATCATGAGTAGAGCAGATCTTATCCGAGCATTGCAGTTTCTCGTTCGGAAAGATAAGTTTACACATAAGTCAGTAAATGAAAGATAAACAGCATACACGACATCCAAGTAAATATAGCTGGCAAATAACTTTAGTTCTGCTGGAGTTTTGCGGAATGTTACGAATTCGACTCAATCACAGTTTATTGAAATTGTTATAGCTTCGACGGCAAATAATTCATTCATGTTCATTTATGATCTTCATAAGGAAAATCGAGAGAATTTACCTTATTTCTTGTGTACAAACATGTCGTCTGCTAGTCCGCACAAATTGTTTCAAGAAATGCCATCTACGATTTATACATACACCTCTCAAACTCTTTAACCTGGCGCGAATTTTCAATTCTCTCATTAAGGGTTTCGATGCAACTTTTACTCTTTGGAGTTAGGTGGATTAAAAATTGTTCCACCTTTTGCTTAGTTTAGCTACAAACTAACGCTAGATGTTAAATAAATGATATACAAATTTGTCCAAATCAAAATGCATTAGTAAGTGGTTGGCACTATCCTTTTCTACAGCTGGATTTTTTAAATAAACCATGTCCCTCAAAGAGGTAACTGATTAAAAACAAGGGAAAATAATAAAAATTTCTTACAGGAATTACATGCACTCCATCGAAATGGGCCTTTTACTATTTACAAATAATTTTCTCTTATTCTCTTCTTATTTTTAAAGGTATCCCCTATCATATGACATATAGATTTCTATTGACCTGTTTTTTTTTTCAATACCTCGGGAACTAATTTAAAAAGAGATCGAAGATCGTGCGATAGATAATGTGTATCTACTAAATTTCTTTAAATTTGATCAAAACAGTTTTGAATTATTATAGTATAATTTGAGTTATGAAATAGACTTAAACTTTATTAAACATACAATTATAATTGTCCTAAACAAATATTTGTTATGCTCGCACTCTTTGACGTGATTCATTTTCAACTTCGTATTCGATTTCGACCTTCGGACGGGTTTTCTTTTGTGTTTTGTCTTTCTTAACGACTTTCGGTCGTTTTGTTTTCTTACTCGTCGAGGGCATTTTATCCTGTAAGAATACAGTAATTTTACACGCATTCATATATTAATTAAAAGAAAATAGAAATATTCATCTTATTACCTCGATATCACTTGTTTCAGATTCAAAATCATCAGACAATTCAACTTCTTCTTTTTGTCCGGAATCGCTATCTTCATCCTAATATAGTAAATATATACATGTGTATTAGTTTCTAGGAATTTCCAAGACATAATTAATTCTAGATATTTGCTTTTGCTTAAATGTAAATAAAAATTGTGGTGTATGCGTAACGACATATAAATTACCATTGATAGTTCTTCAATGTTGAAATCGTCATCTTCATCTTCCTCATCGGTGCCTGCTTCTACATAATGTGGCTGATTTCTTTCCCTTTCCCTTTCATCTGCTTCTAATTCCATTTCTACTTCCTTTTCAATTTCTGTCTCTCTTTCGTATTCTTCTTCGCTCTCACCTTCATTTTCACCTTCAACTTCAACAGCTTCCACAGCTTTGTCGAACACTTGTTGTGGAAAATTGTAAATACTATCATACTAAAAAAATTACAAATATTCTATAGATATACAAAAAATTAATATTACAATGCAGCGATACAATTCAATCCAGACATAGTTACAGTTACAATGTTACAAGTGCTTACCATGCCTTGTTTTAATCTTTCCATAAGTTGTTTTTCTATTGATGTTTCTAATCTAGCAGCAATTAAAGCTTTCTCTTCTCTACGTCTTTCTCTTCTTTCGATCTTCCTTTGGATCGGTACTATTTGTTTCTGTCTTCTTAATTTTAATTTTCGCATGCGTATGAGATATTGTGTAATTTTTACAAATCTTTGTTTACATTTTGCTTTTATAAAACCTGGCCAATATAATAAATTCTCATTGATCTGACTTATTGCCTTCTCAAAATTTCTAGATAGCTTCACTTTTTCCCATGCATTTTTTGGAAAATGCACTCTGCATAAAATTAATGATATATGTATCATGGTTATAGATTTGTTATGTGTACAGTACAATGAATTTACCATTAAGACATATTGTTTGATATTAACTTTATTACCTTTCTGCTGTTCTCATATAGAGGTATATAATACCATTTTCTTCCCTAATTGTGGCATATTGACTGTTTGCAAGTGGACAGGATGCTCTACTACATAAACCGGTAAGATTGTATTCATTGCGACAGAACTTCTGTGTTTTTGCACTATAGAAGAAAAATATAAAAAAAATGTAATATACATAGATTACTATTAATTAATATATAGATAAAAAAATTGTACTTACTTTACTTTGAAAGAACAAAAGGACTTGTTAATGACGCTCCACACAACCTATAACAATTTAAGGTTACGATAAATGTCAATATTTATTATAGATTACTCGTAAACAACTTACATCGTCATGTTGCATTTTGTTCTTTTATTATGTTTTAACTTACAAAATATTTTTACAAATGATATTAAATATTTTTTGCGAGAGTTTCTTTCGACAAATATACACGTGTATCAACAGGTTATATTTAGTTTCTTTCATCCATTTTCATCCTTTATGGTACATTAATAGATGGCGTACGTGTTCTTACATTTATGACGTCATGACCATCGCACCCCTTTGAGTACATAGTCAAAGTGAAGCTATCTACTCAAAGACTATGGTGGCTCTATTCGTGGGAAAATGCCCAAGTTTCTGTAAGATGGCACCATCGATACATGTGACGTAGACGCGGTTTCTTTTACCGACACGATGGTTTATACATGCGCGTCTCTGTTCAAACCAGTTTCCAATTATTTGTATGGAACACTTATAGTTATATATTTTTAGGAAAATTTATTTTTTATGCAATTGTTATTTGATTTTATTATAGATACCTGCTCTCAACAATATGTCACCCATCAGTTTCTAGGGACCTAAGACGTAAACCGACTTTTTTGTTTCTTTTTCGTTTCCTGAGAAATCGTACTTTTTTGTCTTTCAGTATAAATTACTCAGGCTACAGATTATTCATCGAGTCCAGACATTTTTTGTTTGCCGCAGAATCGCCTTATATACAAAACAGCGAAGGTTGTTTGTTAAAATTATGTTTAGTTAAACCAATAAAAAATAAAAAAGTATGAAAAAAAAACACAAAACAAAAAATTTGTGTCAGTCGTCTTGTTTTTTTTTTTAATGTTTCTTGAAGAAAAGTCATTGCTGTTTTGTAGTTTAGACTTTGTAGAACAACTTAATAAAAACAGGTTCGGTACTATCAGATGAAGCATAGCTGAGAAAAATGTACCGAAACATGTCAAATTTTACATATCAAATTCGGAAAGTGGAAATTCAACAGCATGTTTCAATTATGTTGTTACATCGGCGGACTGTTCATTAGATTGGAAAACGCACCTATGTACAAGCCACCATTTCATCAGTTTCTTATATTACTTTCACCGACAGTGTCCTCAGTTTATGCCGATTCGCGTGATCGAAAGTGTCGACACGAGGTACGACAATGAAGAAACTAATCGTAAGTATTCCGATTTCACATAATTCATTATGCCAGACTAACGAGAATTACAACAATTGTTTTAATCGAGTCACTAATCAAATATTTTCTTGAAACATGAAATTATAATTGATTTATCACTTTATGTACTTTTGAGGAAATTCGTGTTAATCACTCGAACGATTTCAACGTTAATGATACGAATACGTAAAATACGACAGAATAACAACGAAAACATAGATTCGAAAATATTTGAACGTTCTCTTGGAAAGGTTCCTTGCGTTTATCATACTCGATCGCTAAACTTCGCAATCGGTTTGGAATTTTATTACGCTCAGATCCTGTAAACTAAAGTTCTATAATTACATGACTTTTAAGTACATTAATCGTTTTATTAATTTTACTTTTTAAATTTTGCAAATTGATCGAAGCTTCTTCTTATTATAAAGGATTTAAGTAAACGTAACGTAGGCGATTGCATCACCGTACATTTCGATGGATCATAATGCGTATTATTTGGGAAATTAGTAAAAGAAAAGATAACAGTAATTAGAAGAACAGTGAGCACGGGAAAGGATACGCGATGATAACTATGGATCGATTGAAAATGAAAAACTAAGATTTCATTATACTTTTGAAAAGATACAGAGAATTTTGAGAATGTTGATTTTATACTAATACAAATAGATCCGATTAATTTATGTCGTTTCGAATTAAGCATTTTGGAGTGACTCGATTGCGATACCTAATTAAACAACATTATTTTTAAATCAGATCGCAATCGTTCTGATTAGTCCCTGCCTGGGGGACGTATCGCATCTTTTGTCAAAAGACTCGACGACTACGACTCCGCCACCGCCGCCTAGACCTTACAATTTTCAGTATCATGCAGAACGATATCCTGGAAGAATTGATCGAGTTCACCAAGAAAATGGAGACGGTGCTGGACACATTCAAGGTAATGAATGCATGAAAAATTAGTTATTACGCGTGGTGTCCCCTTTTGTACCGTATAACTTTCGCAAAGATGTTGTTTTTATAGCTTCGTTCGCTCGTGAGACATTCAACCACTGCGCTTTGAAAGAAACGCCGTGTATATTAAAAAATGTGATCTGATATTTTGAGATTGAATCTTTCTTTATACGTTTCAGGTTCTTATTCATTTATCGATCCTAAACATAAACTGCGAACGGTGCAATACACAGCCGACGAAACTGGATTTCATGCTTCCTTAATAAATTACGAAGACACGATTACTCAACCCGTTGATTCCGAAGCAGTGAAGCTTGCTAAGGAGAAACATCATCGCCTTTACCAGAAGATAGCTGAGGCACATTCTCACGGTACTCCAGCGGATCTCCCACGGGTAATAAACAGTCAATTGTTTATACACATTCCTTAACATGAAAAAAATCATCATGAAATCACTGCGTGTATTATAATATATATATTCTAGATATAAATATAGATGGATAGAGTAGGGAACAGTAAGGAAGCCAGATCTCATATTCCCGTATCCATAGATGTACCACAGCTAAAAAGAGAAAGATAACTTGCGGTACTCTATTTGTCTTTGTCTTCGTGGACTTAATTAGATCATTTTCATAATTAATGGCTCATGTATGAAGCTTCAATTTATCATCGCGTTTTTCTGTGTCACTCGCGAGGAGGCGTACTCGAAGGAGACTCTTCTGGACCCTTCTTTTTATCGCTACTGTCGATTCGAAACGGTTGCTTTCACCTGACAATCGTATGTCGTTTTGCAGGATTCCACGAGCGTGGGGAGAGCGAAGGCCAGACATAATCAACTGTACCAGAAGATTGCCCAGGAACACGCTGTGATTGCCGCTCAAAGAGAAGCAGAACGTTTAGCCTACGAGGCCACTTCTGTTGTCAATGATGTAAATCCGAATCATGCATACTGACGATATTTCGTGGCAAAAAAAAAAAAAACACGAAAAACAAAACATTTCCTTGATACTTTAACTGCAACTAAGCTTTCTTCCATACAAAAAATAATTTCTGGCAAAAAAAATATAACCGACTACAAAAACCATTAAAACTACTGTGCTATCTGGGTAGTAATGAACAATACGTATATTGTTGCAAATACAATCATCAGGAATACATGTGCAACTAAATGTGAAAGGATTAAGCGCGATCGGTAAATTCCTTGCCCAGTTATTATTGAAGAGATTATGAGTCTGTGATACACATTGAATTTGTTAAGTATTTCCCACACCTATGAGTATAAAAATCTCGAAGTCGATTTGGTGCATCTTTGTTGTAAATCTTTAAGAAGATAGTCTGTCGTGTATTAGTTTATTATCTTTCAATTGAAAACAATAAAGAACACAAGAAAGTTTTTAAACTGATAATGGAATCCTTGCTTGTTTCATATATTTAGAATGTTACACTGTTAATTTATAGTTTCTAATGTTTCAACACTGTTCATCACATTCAACGATGTAAGGAGGAGCACATTCGCTATGTTTGACACCGAAAGAATACTTGGGATTTGGTCTGGGGGATTTAACGTTGTACTTTGGACCTGGACTGCGACAAATTACTTTTTCACCGTGCCTAACCGCTATGCTATACTCTGGCGCCTTTATTGTAACCAAGTCTACACTGTAAGGACGAGGACCTGGTGCGGCATCACATTTTAGAGCAGGTAGACGTTTTCCTCTATAAAATACACATGAGGATCAATAATCGAAATCATTTTTTAATAGTTTATGCTAATAGCATTGTATTATGGTATAGTTTTAAAAACTATGCATTTCATAGTAATGAATTCAAAAAAAGACCATGGTAAAGCAGTTAGCACATTTCTGTTATCTCGCGTAACAGAAACGGTAGTACATACATAGAAAAAGCTGGACTGTCACTAAGAAGTTGCACAAAGTAAGGCCCAGGTGTACCACAACTGCCTCTGTGTTTTGTTCGGAATTTTAGTGAAAACGCAGGACCTTTTGGAACTGGTAAAATGTATTTTGGACCAGGTCCACAGGTTGTGTCTAAGATACAGAAATCCTAATGTAGAAATCCTAGTACTGTGTAAAAATTGTGACTAAATAAAGATGGAAACTAATAGTATCTGTTTTTAAATCGAAACAGGAGATTCCATAATTTTACAGTATGTAATCAAACTGTGGTTCCTGCCACGTTTAATTAAAAGATTAATTCAATTTGATATCACCAGTTTAGATTGCACAGTTTTTGTTATAAGAAACAATACTGTAAAAGTGAAATGAAAAATACCAAAACTCTTCCCAACTAATCCAAAAGAAAACCCTTCGCGTTTTGGATCCTTTATCAAATACTTTGGTCCTGGTCCTTCGCATGTTTGTAAAAAAGGATGTCTGAAGCCGAATGTATATGCCGGATTCCGATACCTAGAAAGACAATGTTCTTGATAGCCCACAAGTGTTTTGAGTCTATATTTTGGACCAGGGCCTACAAAAGTAAATATATATTATAAAATTAAGTTCTATATACTTTCGCCATGTGCAGATAATTATAAATATTTAACACTACAGAAACATCTTTTTAGGTCTATCGCAAAGGGCGATTTAATTATTTACTTCTAAGTCCGCATATGACAGTTCCTGTTTTTTTTTCCGGTTTAGTTTCTGATTGCGGTTGCGGTTCCGGTTTCGGTGGCATGTTTGTACTTGATAATTTACATTTCTCCAAAGATTAAATTACTGTAAAATTTTAGTGGTGTTATTTGAACGACATCATAAACAGTTGATTTGTACCATTACTGAAAATCATGAACATATCGGTAATTCGAAAATGTTCACATACATACTCGGTGTGATGTTATAACCTAATATATAGGTATTGAACACCATAGTAAGTGTCCAATATTTCTCCTAGACACCTGTTAAATTTATTTATTATGAAACAAGTATTGTAAAATAATAGATTGTACTAAATTGTTTTACATCATATATTTTATGAATAATTATGCTAAATGTAACATAATATAAAGAAAAATCAATTGTACAATTAGAATAATTAACACAATTACTATTATTTCCCCATCGCAATTTAAATTTAAAAAATGGCAATTAGAAAAAGTTTGACAAATTGATCAGTTCCCATATGTAACAAAATATTTGTCGGTATATAATAAATTGTGAAACAATTAATTTATCTTTAAAAAAATGATTGTTTAAAACAAGCTTTGTCTGAGCAGGAGTACGCACAAAAACACAGAACTATAGTTAACAGTATCACATTATAGATAGACCCAGCAGTGTATAACAACACAAAGATAATATTATATTTACAGTTTTTAGCCGATAATCTTTGTGTAGCAAATTTTGCTATTTTCACTATACCATTAACTATATATTACAGAAAACAAATTGTGCAGATTAAATTGTTTTTGTAAGAATATAAATAATAATAATAATTTATTTAAAAAGTACGATAAATTAAATTACGTTAAAATTGAATATCTTATAAGTATTCTGCTGAAGTTGTTTTTAATACGTTAGATAAAAACATTAGCGTAAAAATAAAGTAATTTTCCAAAAAATCCTAAGTATAATGCATATTTACGAAAAATAGTAAAGAACAAAATATTATGATACAAATCACAATACATATATACTCTCAAGTTTATAATCATCATTTCGATCCTTGCAATTATTGTATTATTTACATGCAACGATATGCTGCACACATTCTTTATTATGTATCGCGTTAGAGTCGTTTCACAGTAACATACTATGCCTCTATGGGACATATTTAATTAGAGCCGATTGAGTACACGGTGATTGCATCTATATAATGTGCCAATACGCTTGTTTTGCTGTTTAACGCTTTATACAGAATAAAGATATTCTACAAATACTTAAGTATACCACCTATAAATTAAAATTAGTGCAATACATTTTCTTTTTGCTTCTTTCAAAATTTTATAATATTATAGATATTTTAAATTTGATTTTTAGGTTTAAATTACTGAAATTAAACTTAACGATGATATCTAAACGAAATCATATCTTTATCTGAGAGGACATGTCTGTAGCAGAGGAGGTATAGAACTTAAGGAGGCGGGTTCTCTTAAATTAAGTTTATGCAATTCGTCGTCTGCTTTGTTGTTGTTCAACTCTTGCTGTGTATACAAGAACTTATTCCACTCATCGATCCTTGGATGTGCTAAATGCTGTATTTAAATAAACACATATATTAGTCGGTTATAACCTTTCCAAATGTTTTGTTGTTTGCAAGCAATACAAAAATTACTACATTGAAATAGAGACTTTTTTATGATAACGTATTACCTCAGCAACATCGTAGACCCAAATCTTTCCAGTATCATCGCCAACTGTTACATGTAAACCACTCGGAGTCCACGAAACTTTATTAAGGGCTGGGCATCCTTCGATCATAATACTCGCAGTCGGCACTTCGGTATCTTGATTGAGATTCCATAAATCTAACCTTCCTGAATCGTCTACTGCAGCAAACAATGCTGGATGGGTTGGAGACCATGCAACATCGTAAACGTAATCGCCATTATGTTCGAAAGAGTAAAGAGGTTTGTTCTCCTTCAGACTCCACAGCTTAATTGTCCAGTCGAAGGAAGACGTTAAGAACAGATGGGAGAAATCTATTCCACCTTGCACACCGTGTGCGCTAATTCCAGTAACTGGTCCTTGATGACCTTCATAGGTTTCTAGTACTCCAGCTTTCGTACCATGACGACAAGCTATTAAAAAAGCAAGTAACATTACGATAACTCTTACGAAAAATATGACGATTGTAGAATGATTACATTAAATTTGATTTCAACAATTATTATTTACCAGAATAAACCGTTCCATCTTCGCTGCCGACTACGAAATTATTAACATCGCCATGGGGAAACGCTAAACATGTAGCAGCGATTGATTTCGATTGTTTCGCGTAAAGTTCTAGTTTCTCCTGTGGTTGCGACAACATGTCTAAACTCCACGAACGCAATTTTCCGTCTGTTGAAATGCTTATTAAATTGTGTGCGTTTTGGGCCCCAACAACGTTTAAACAGTAGACAGGATGCTACAAGTATAATCATTGAAACATTTATAAGAGCGAGATATGTGACGTTTATTTCGAAGATTGTATAAGTCACTTTTTCCAAAAAATCAAGTTAATAATAAAATTAATTATAATTTAACACTAAATCTACGACAGGTCAAATGATCGTTTTCAAACTTTGATATACAGTTCTTATATGCAATATATAAATTATATACAAATGTTTCATGCATTATTCAATTCAGAAATATTTTTACATTCAGTTGTAAAAAGTGTCTTTAAGACTATTCATTTGTTCCATCACAGTAGAAATAGGTACAAATGAAACCTTAGTGGATTTAGTGGTAAAAAGAATGACTTATGACACTTTCAAAATGAATGACTCATATATTTTTAATAATTAAATAACTTACAGTATGTGCGTTTGCTGACAGTGGTGTGCGTTGAATTGGAGTTCTCTTTTGCACTCTATTATCCCAAAGGACAATCTGCCCAGAGTAAGTACCTCCTAAGATTAAATTGGGGTGAAATCTTGCAAATGTGATCGACAGTACCGGAGACTGACAGTGAAAAATGAATTCTGGCGTTGTTTTTTTAAATTTTGTATTCCAAACTAAACAAACTCCATCAGGGTCGTTTGGAGTGTCATCATTGTTGTTGTAAGAAGCCGCAAGAAGTTCTGGAAACTGAGGCGACCAATCCATCGAAGTGACACAACGATTACGAGACCATCGATCGCAAAAGAATGATCTATTCAACCACAGACGTTGATGGCTTTTCTCATCTCTGAACAAAATACGGATTAACGTTATGAAAATGAATGAAAGTAGATTACTTTGCAACTTATTCTTTAAAGGCTCAACTCTGATAGTATGATATTTTGTCAGAGGTTTTCTCAAAGACCGTTCTTATCAAGAAACACAATTTAAAGTTGATATCAAATGCTCTTCACTGTTACTCACATTCCATCTTCGCCATCCATGTTGCCAGTATAATCGGTATAAATATCAACAGATTCTCCTAATGCTCTTTCTACAATTCTACTGGTACGATCAAGGAACCGTTGAAACTCCTCGGACAGTATTATCATTTGTTTCTCCTCTTCACTGAGTTCTTGTACTACAAATTAGTATTCACATGAAGATTATTATAAATTTAATTTGTTCTATTCAAACGAGGAAAAATTAAACATACAAAAACCATCTCAAATGTTTCGTAAGGTTTACACTTCCAAAACGAGCATTTTCACAAAACTTTGTCTAGACATTTTCCTACGTGTCCTCAAATTTTAGAGCATATCCATGTCAACAATTATCAGGAATGGGGCCTCAATCTACACCTTTTAAAGGGTCTCATATGTTTTAAATACTAAAATAAATTTTAACGAATACTTAAAAAGAAATTATTTCTGATTCACTAATATCTCTTCAATGATTTAAATAATTCTTTACAAAATCCTCCCAAGAAGTAGGGAATATTCTATAATAGTACCAAATTTCCTCATTCTGATCTCATTATCAAAAGGACCTCTAATCGTTCTTCAGCCCTGGGCCTTAAAAACCCTCAATCCATTCCTACCAATTATAATAAGAATTTGACCAATAAGGGTTGTTATTAGCTATACTCATTTATTTCTACAAAGTACCTTCTTTAGGTTTTTCCTTTTCTTTTTCTTGCTCCACTTGCGTAACTGCAGGCTGCACTTCTTTAACTTGCGGCAAACCATGAGGAAGAATTCCAGGAGGAAGCTTGCTTTGAAAACCGTCCATGTGCGGCAAGCTGTTCTCTTCATCTTCGGCTTGGCCATCATCAAATGTCAAAACTGTGGTGAATAAGCTGATTCCGCCACGAATACCCTAACTTCAATACATCTATCTACCTCTGGCAAATGCCCTACTTAAGAACTCGATAAGCTACATTCTGTAAAAAGACTGTATCGTCTCGCAACATTTCTAAATTTACTACATAAGTATACTTCATCAATGGCTTATAGAAAATGTTTCAAATAACATAATGTATCAACGACCTACGTACAGAACAAATAAGGATAATTAAAAAAAAAAAAAAAAAAAAAAAGCGATAGATCTGTGTAAATACTTCTGCGAAACACGTAAATGTTCGCAGAACATTATCAATTTGACAAATGAAATTTATCCAGTGCATGTAGCACAGTGGCGTGTAAAGAAAAACGATTTTGTTTGCATGTTAACGTAAATCAAATTAAGTGTCGACACATAAACAAACTGGATTAACGTCAGGTTTAAAAATAAGGGATGCAACTCTCTTTCAAAATCTTTCAAAAAAATGTACGAAATTAATGAAAACATAATCCATCAGGAAATAAATACCTAATCACACACAATATTGGAAAAACTACTGGAATCAGGTTGGATTACATGCACTGATATTAGTTACACAAAAAGGTGGACTGCTTGTTGGTGGATTATATAACGAAAAATTTAATTTTTATTAAAAAAGAAAAACGATTGTTATGAAAATTATCTGAAACGATATCTCTCCACCCTTTATTTTAGAATAATACATACGTGAAAAAGAAGGATGAGCAAAAAGAAAGTAGAAAACGAATTAAGTCAATGATTATTTTAAATGAAATGAATGTTGCGTTATAATGTCGTGTTACCTGGTACATTTTCCTAGTTCCAGTATTCATTAGCACGTAAAATTGTTTCTCATGAATGTTGAACCGATAAGAATTGTATCAAATGAAGAAAATATATAAATATAAAAATAGAGTGGAGGTTTATTAACGCAACTTCCCAAGTCTCATGCAGCATTAAATGAATATCTAACTCACATAGAAGAAAAATATTAAAGAAATAATGTGAAATTATGTATAATCTATAATTTTGAATCAAAAAGATACTGTATAAGTGTAAAATGGCAATGATAATGATAAGAGTAATTTATCGTATTGCTTTGTTCATGCGTTAAAATGAAAAGAAACAAAGAATATAATAAAACTATAAATATATACTGTCTATACATGCATGATAAATAAAGCACAGGTTTTTACAATTATATAACAAACCATAATAACTACCTAATCATCCAATGACTTATCAAGCAATTTTTAGTGTAAATTAATAGTACAAGTTCCCTCCTTTCAGTGCATATAAAGGTAGTAATTTAACAAAACAAAAAGTTGTATACAGATTACTTTCAAATACAATTTTGTGAAAAATGAATATAATTCACATCTTCGTGATATAATTAGGTAGAGTGAATCATCTCTAGAGAGGATTACCTACCTGTAAATTCGTCCTCCCATTCTAAACCAGGATTTAGATTGTACTCGTCTTGAAGGAGGGAAAAGAAAATCTCAATCAATTTTGTGTTTTATTATGTTAGTAATGTTTGTTTCTAATTTCATATCTCTCATAGCAAATTATTGATGTATGCAATAAATGTATGCTTAAACAAATAATTATTACTTTTAAAAGCAATAGAATATATGTACACTACAAACACACACAACAAGATATTTATACCGACTATGATATTTTAATTCAAAGTAATTGAAGTTATGTATTAGACCACGTGCTTAATATTTTCCATTAATTGTGCATGATACATCAACAATTAACTAGAAAGATTGAAATGATTATGTTGAGTGAGTAATTATAAATACATCTATAAACATGCATATAGTATACCCTATTAATGCTATCATGTTTCTCAACAAGTTACACTAAAGGGATTAATGAATAACATTATCATACATATAAATGTCTTCGATACGATCAAATAAAGCATAGTGATTCCAAAGTTAATGTAAATTCTGTTTTTGATAAACGACACGTTGAAGACACTAACTATAAATACAATTACAATCCCTTTAGGCTTTTCTATATACTTTAACTAAAAATGACTATACACTTATTGTAAATAAAGCCATCGATATTATTATTATCTTTAATATGACAAGACCAATATAAGTCAGAGTTATTCCTTTTCAATCTGAAGTAAAAGTATTATTTTTCTTAAGTAAATCCAGTTTAAAACTTAATTTTCAAAAATTTTAGGCACAATCTTTTATAGTAACAAATAAAGAAAATGAAGATAACAAAGAATTCATAAAATTTAAATATTGTAATGTAATAGACTGACATCTCCGACTATTAATTTATATGAGTACAATCGTTCTTGTAATTTAAATTATTTACATTTATTTTAGAAATCGGAAATAAAATAGTATTTCTTAAAATTAGAGTATTTAAATAATTCTCACGTATTTTTTGTTGAACACTTGTATCAACAATCATTTATGAAATGAAATTAATATGTATTACCTTCGTAGAATGTATTTCTATGAGACAATATTTTTCTATTTTTTGGTAATTTATGTTTTTGCTAGATCATTTTCACAAAAACGTGCCATTAAGAAGCAATGTTTGCAATTAAAGTATATATTCGTACTAATTGTAGTCCTCTGAAGCAACAGTGTCGTTCGTTGTTTTGCGATACTAAAAGCTTAGCCACAGAACCTTTTACCAAATCTTTCCTTCTATCTTAATACAAAGTTCAAGTGTAATATTCACCAACCCAACACCATAATATCCTCTTCCATGTTAGTTAGTACACCATAATATACAAAAAATGACCGAAATAACCGTGATAACGCGCAGAGAACTCTGGAAGGTGCGTTAAGTTGTGACAAGATTTGCCAATGGATATTCATTCATTAAATATTTTATGTTTCAGACAGTCCCTATTTCAAACAATATTCGAAAATCTGGCAAATAATTACAATATTCCAAGTAGGACATTTTTTTTTTATCATAAACACGCCTTCTTACGTTTTATAAGCATCGATACATTATTTATGTATTTTAAACAATATTCCTGTTTACAGAATAGCATTAGTGTTACTTTCAGTAAAATGATACATAATGAATAACAACACCATTATCTCATTGATTTTAGACACACAAATTAAAAGACATATTTGAAAATATCAATCAAACATTTGTTTCTAATTTTAAATAAGTAATGAAATACTCCAAAGGTAGTCCGTATATATAGCAATTATGTTTGTTTATTTCATTTTAATGTAAGAAAAATGTGTACCTATTGTAGATTAGATATTTCAAATATGCGTATATGTCTTAAAATAAGGGACACTTTCATTAATAGAGGGTGTCCCAGCCTTAGCGATACAGCGTTCTAACTCCAAAACTATCGGCCGAATGCAAAATTTCAAATATGGAAATTGCATGGTAAAATGGGCCACATGTTTCAGCGAGAAGGAATTTTTGTTAACTTTGTTATTTAACGAGATATGATGGTCAAGTTTCGTTTTTCAAATAGAATTATATTTTTTTTTGTATACCATGCGATAGTACTTTTCAATACGAATTCATTAAGCTTTAATGTATTTACCCGATTTTTATTAGTTTTCAAGCTATAACGCTTCAAAGTTTGCTAATTTTCAAGGAAAAATCTTGGTTCGGTCCCATTGATGCGGTAAGCACCATGGGGTTCTTGAAATCGATACGGAGGGTCTCGCTTGCGATTCCAGGCCCGAGGAAGGAAAACGGGAAAAGTACCTACCTATTACCTACCTAGAAAATTCTCGGCACTACAAGTAATGCATCAATAGCGGTCATCAGTATCGATTTCAAAAACCCCATGGTGCTTACTGGATCAATGGAACCGCCCGGGGTCGAACCGAGTTTTTTCCTTGAAAATTAGCAAACTTTGAAGCGTTATAGCTTGAAAACTAATAAAAATCGGGTAAATACATTAAAGCTTACTCAATTCGTCTTGAAAAGTACTATCGCATGATATACAAAAAAAATATATAGTTCCATTTGAAAAACGAAACTTGACCATCATATCTCGTTAAATGACAAAGTTAACAAAAATTCCTTCTCGCTGAAACATGAGCCTCACTTTACCATGCAATTTCCATATTTGAAATTTTACATTCAGCCGATAGTTTTAGAGTTAGAACGCCGTATCACTAAGGCTGGGACACCCTGTATATTATTCCATGACTGCATTACATAAACTCACTTTATAGTAATTTTTATTTTGTAGATACCAATATGATCATTAATTTGTGTCTAATATCTAATAAGAAGTATACGAACATACATTTTCAGTTTCAGAATAGAAATGTGTACATTCCAGACTTACTATTAACATTAAGGTGTGCATAGTGTATGCCTTTATAAATGTGTAAATTCCAAAGCATTTCCGTTTGAGAGTCGGGATGCCAGATAAATATATAAACGGTAATAAATACAGTAATTAAACGTAAATATACCCAATGAAAGTAGAACAACATAAAAAAGCTAAAAAGTATAAAAGCAATTTATAAGATAGCAAATATATATATGTATATTAGGTTCTGGGTGGAGAGTCACTTGTGCATTTTTGCATTATCGCATCATAAATCTCGTTTAAATTTGGAAGGTAATACTTTTGCTCTCTTCATTATTAAAACTTCATGTTTGCAATTTAACAAAAGAGAGAGAGAGTGCATTCTCCGATTACTATTCTTTATAGAAAATAGGCCACTGCAATCATTTTCTTACCTTAACAATTTATTTCAATGTGAAAAATTTGCATTTACTTGTGAGATTTAATTGGACAGCTATTTATTTATATTATCCTAATACTCTGTATTTGGTTCTCACTATGTACATACTATTAAACCGGAAGAATTAATGGAATGAAGCTAAACCTATATCTGAACCTAAAACTTTTTGAAAACCAAGAGAAATCATAACTTACCGTAATAGTCGAATGCATGAGCTGAGAAGGGGAGGGAAAAAAATTGCACTTAGTTACAATCTCGTAAGAATGCACTACACTAATTTCACCTCTCTACACTCAGGCCATACATAGTTAAATAAATAAACTACTAATCAAACGTTTACAGAAACAAAATCTTAATTGAATGTAAAATATTATAAAAGTTTGAAAATGAAAATTTTTACTGATATTAGCTTGTTTTATAGCATTAATAACAGTTTTCTGTGAAGTTTTTGCAGAACTCTGTAGACAATTTTATAGCACGATTTTTGTGTTCATAAAACTTAATTATGCTTGCAAAAGTCTGCTACAATAGAGGTCAAAGAGCGTTAGATTTGTAATTGTATTAAACAAAAAGATAAAGAAATAGAAAAAAGATTTATCTGCTGAATGTAGTTAGGTGAGTATAGATTTGTAAATTTTTATATCGTGCGGTGCTGTGATTTCTACATGTAAGAGGAAACATACATATTCGATGCTTCTTATGTTATTAAAATGTGATTCAATTAATGTTTTTTTCAGTCCTTAACACAATTCAACACTTTCCTTAAAACTGGAAATTCTAATTCATGTTATTGACTGCTTAATATAAAATAATAAAACATTTGTGTTATTTAATGTGACTACCAATGGATGCTTATACTTAAGTAAAATTTTATATCTCACTTACATCCCTTGTCACACTTATGCCCACCCCCTCAAGTTTCTCAGAAACAAATTTCATTATCAATTTCAAAAGTAAATTTTGTTGGTATGCATTACTGTCTCTAGTGCGCTACGATTTGTACACTACAGCAAGTACACGTCAATAGTCATCACAAGAACATTTGTCAATGTTGAATTTCTTTTCAAATTGTATAAAAAGTACCAAAAAATTAAATTTCATGTGTTATGGTAACTACTACAATTATAGTAACACTGCTGTCTATAAATATTCTTATCCATAAATTAAGAAAGCATCAATAGTAATTAATTCGTTTGTTTCATTTTAATACTAGCACGCATGAGTCAAGGTACATTGACTTTTTGTTGTAATAATTTTCAAATTTTCCCAACAAACAGGACGCCTGAAGTTAATGTATTATATCATTCTTATAAACTGTTAGTACATAATTAAATTCTGTAAAGCGTGTTAAAAGCTTGTCTTTTATGCCAACAAGTATACATTGTACATGGAAATATACTTATAAAATGTATATCATGAATGAACGATTAAGACTTTAAACTTAATAATCTTTTAAAATTATGTATATTCTATAATTGTGTTTTTTTTTACCAATAATAATTTGATGAATATAAGAGATGATATAACTTGAAAATGTAAATAGGTAAATATGTAATTCCACGTACAATATTTGATACATAATCAGGGTTGTAGAATCAAGAAAATTGAATCATGAATTGCCTTTTTTATTGTCAAATTTGCTGGTATGTAAGAATATAGTTGTAAAAATTATTAAGTCCGCGAAGCAGAGGGTACTCACAAATTTGACTCTACATCCTTTAATTCCAAACATGAATAGCAATGTATCTACCTCTATAATATACTGTTGTACAACAATTATAGGAAGGGTAATAAAAAAGATGACAGAACATACATAGGTAGTTTGGTGCAGACCCACCTTTCCTGGGAAGCCACCAGTCAATCTCAAAGTAGCCTGCGGAGTAAGAGTGAGTTGGTGTTGTTGTTGAACAGGAGGAGTAGATGGTGTATGCAGAAGAAGATGCGGACAGTTCTTGTGTCCAACACCAATTGATTTGACCGATTGATTTGACCGATTGTATCGCAAGAAAATGAAATACGCGTACATTTAATAATGCCGCAATGTCAGTTAGGCAATGGGACAAGCATGTAACGTGCAATGTATCCCATGCTTATGTTAAAAGCTTTTAAGCAAAAAATTATTTAATCGTATATCTAAATTATATCACTACTAAAAGATTGTTCTTCGTTATACTTTACCCAAATTTTATACTTTGATCAGAACTCATAGTAAAGTAGGTGGTATGAATAAAGAATTATTATGTAAACCACGCAATTTATTGTTATCATTTATTTTGATAGTGTTAAAAATAAACAGCAAGGAAAATTGAAAATTAAAAAGAGTTATGAAACCAACTGAAATTGCGGATGGATGAAATAGAAGTATGAAATACAAAAAACATAATTGCCACCACCGGGAAAAACATTATTTATGTCCAAAACCTGATTACGTGTTAAGTGTTGTCTATACCTACTACTATGCTTCCTAAATAACATATGAGATTTGCAAATACAACTGTTAGGAATTTTTGTATTTTACTTATAATTATAAGAACATACAACAATATTATGTCAAATTATGGAAATACATAGTGTTTACTGCAATAAATAATGCTTTTTTTGTACAACATAAGAATTTGTTGCTTTCTCAATAACAGCATATTAAATTTATACTTGGATCAAAATATAATTTATTCTTGGTATTAACATTAACAAGTCCTTTCTGTAAGTTTATAATTAAAACATTTGTAAACCTTCAAACAACTATCCAAATAAATGTATTGCATTTAAAACAATCAATTATTCTTTTACACAACCGGATATACTATTATGTAGTATATGTATATTATACTAAGTAGAAATTATTTAAATAATTACTGTCTGTTCAAAAAGTGTTGAAAATTACTAATGATTCAACACAAGTTAACACACACAACGAAGGAATAAAATGACAACAGTGCTACAAGTAAGTAACATGCCATTTTTGTACGTATGTGTTGTAAGAATATGTAAGTTTCCTCATTAGCTACAATTATATAACACAATACGAGTGAGTAAATCATTTCTTATTATTATCACAATGAAATTAAAGTTATAAATAAAACAAGGTTATACCGATGTGCTTGATTGTGTATTACAATCAATTTATCTTATTAATTAAAATATATACAATAATGTTAATACTTGATAACTGTATCACAAAATTATTAAGTATGTTATGTCATTAATGGCATATATTTTTAAATGAAGCATTTTCATATACACCACCCACTTTACCATATTCAATCAATTCATTGAAGGAGTGCTATAAATATGAAATATTTAATCGTATACAATAATAGTGACATTTTTGTAAATATTATGAACGTAATAAATTGGCAAATTTTCATTTCAATGTATTTTAATCCTTTGTATTCTCAAATAAATAATATACAGATCACGAAATTTAATTCGTATATAAAAATGCTAATGTTTTTGTAAATACCAACTCTGCTTGTGCCATTAACAATAACAAGAGACTATATTATTTGTTTTATTCAGAAGCAAAATCATTATAGTAATTATTTTCACATTTACTTTAGTATGTACTAACAAAACATTAATGCCACTTGCTGAGGAAGGATAAAGAGATAATAAAGCGATAGTCTCCAAGAAATTATTCAATAATATATTAACATTTGAGAAGAATTTAGTGGTATATAATTTGAGGATTTACTGATACAGAAACTCGAACTCTGTCAAATCAAAATTTTACTGTATTGTACTTATCCAGAAATTTTATCGAATTTATTTCTACATATCAGCACCAGACTACAAAAATTAACCATTGATGTAACAAATTGTGGTAAATCGTGTATCATGATATCAAAGTGATATATATACAGGCTACCCATTTTAATTTATAAAGAATATATATCTTTAAAAAATTAAACGTACAATGTCTAAAAAAAAGATTAGAAGAAAATTCTCATAAACCCTTAATTTTCTTCAAGCACCATTTACCTAAACATTTTATTCAGTATTCTTTTAAAAATATATTTATTCATAAATTAAAATGGAGTACTCTGTGATACATATATACACATATGCGATATATGTATATATGTTGTATATCTACTTTTTTAATATGAAATTTTTACTTCATTTAATCAACATTACTGTAATGTATATTTTAAAACGTTGTTGTTTGATAATTATATATATTTGTAAATTCACAAGAAGCAACATTTAGTGTTGTAAATAAAGTATAAGATAGATGCAGTGACTCACCGTCGTGGGATGTGAGTGTTGTCTGAATAGTTTGAGTTTGTTTATTATAGACCACTGGTTCCTTTGGTGGGATGTTGGTGTGAGCCACAGAGACAATTGTAAGTTCTCGATTTTTCCTCCGTCCAGCACTGCTATGAAAGAAAAATATAAACGCTGTATGGCAAATGCAAGTACAAAAAAAACTGCTGTTTTAAATCTAAGTACCTTTGAGCAGAATTTATACTAGATGGTTGTAAACTAGCATCAGGAGTAGCATTAGCACTCTGTTCAGGGGTCAAAGAATTCATACTAGACAAACTTGATAATACATCTGCAAATAAAGCAAATTATAAAATGGAGAACATTAACTAAATTACAGAATAGAGTTATGTACCTGATACTGGAGCAACACCTAAAGACGAAAGCATCGCATCCAATTCTTTGCGGTGATCTTTATCCACTCCTGCAACACGGACCGTAGCTTCCTCGACCTTTAATACAAAGGATAGAGTTAAATTTTAACGAAGAAATGAAAGAGATTATAAATACTAAATTTAAATTAAAAATGTCTCACATCTTTTTGTTCCTTTTCTCTCCTGCGCCTTTCCTTTTCTTCTCTTATGGCTTGAAGCTTTGCTTTCTTCCTTTCAAGCTCTGCTTTTCTATCAGACATCATTGTGCTGTCTTGTTAATACCTAAACAATATTCGTCAACATATTAGAAATAAATGAAAAACATGGTAGACAATTTAAAAAGTGCTACTGGACTCGTTAAAACTCTTGTCAGGTTTCATGAATCGTTAACGGAACTCGAATCGGGTTTGGTGCAATTATTGATTTCTGCCCAGTGACGTCAGTTTGTACAGAATCTCAGAAAGCCGCATCAACAAATGATTAAAAAAAAATTCGAATTTTTACGATTGCAAAGTAAGTAAATAATTTTGTCACATTAAGTACAAAGAAACAAAACGAGAATTAATGTGTTTCGATAGTATTGAACAATGAACTCATCGAAGAATTCCCATCTGTCACACGGGAGTGCTAACATAACAGAGTAGGTTAAATTTGTTCACTTTTGTTAGAGAAACTTGTGAAATATTTACCTTTCGTCGTGTAAATTGTTTCACAGATTTGAGTGCTAAAAACTGTAGTAGTTGTCGATTTCTACATCATCTATCCGACCCGCCCGACATACGAACCTCTTGCATCGCAACAATAGCACCACAGTTACTATAACTCGTACCTCGTACTAACGGAATAGTCGAATCGCTTTTGCAGTTTCCTACACTCTCGCATGCATAGTGTAGAAATGTGCGTAACAGGTGGCGCTCATAGTTTATTCCGCTAGAAACTAAAAATTATATTTGCTAACTGATTCATTAATAACTAACTGATATCAGCTTGTGGATGCAAAGGAAAAACATATAAACAAAGGATGCATCCAGAAAGGCCATTATGGCGACTTCTACCTCCACACGAGTCAACGAAAAGCGCGTAGTTTTTCGATAGAGACGTTTTACACCGGAAGGCGGGAAAAACCTTAGGAAACTCCTAACGCGACTTTTTTCCAGCTTTCGCCAAAGGGAGGAAATTCTTTGAAGAAATAGGACCGGAATTAAATAGTAAGAGTTATAAACCATGGTTTTTTAAATACAGACACAACCTGGACAGGGAAACGGTGAGAACTATAGCACGAATTAGAAGTAACCATCACAACCTGAAAGCATCTCTAGCAAGAAAGGGAATTATGAATGATCCAATATGCGATTGTGGACAAGGAGAAGAAGACATAGACCATGTCGTATTCGAATGCTCTTTATATAATTGGGAAAGAGATTTAATCTAGCAAAGACTGGGAAAGGAAATAGCAAAAGTAGGAGAAACAGTATACGGGTTACTGAGACTGAATAGTGTTAAGGTTTATACAACAATAAGAGAATTTCTAAACAGTATTAACAAAGTGATATAAAAGATACAAGTACAAGAAAAGTACAAGTAGAAAATAACGAAAAGATGTTTAATTAGTAGACTAGTTTTAAAATCTGTGGTAGTTCTTTAAATAAAGAACTAAAACTAAAAAAAAAAGGAACGATATCGCCATCTATCGGTGAAAAGGTCGAACTAAAATTCCGACCTCCGTACAGCGCACCACCGGGAAAACGCCCAAGCTTGTCGCCGAATAGTTTCTTTTTTAACAGCTAGATGGCGCCATTTTATCGGTTATTTACCGACATGATGGTAATGTATCGACAGGTCGGTAAAAAGAAACTCTGTAAATAGCGCCATCTGACATTTAAAAAAAGAACTAATCGAGGACAAACTTGGGCGTTTTCCCGGTGGTGCGCTGTACGGAGGCCGGAATTTTAGTTCGACCTTTTCACCACTAGATGGCGGTAGCAATTTTTGCCCTGTAATTCAAATGGATCTATAATGCATTAAAATTAAAATTTAATCATCTAATCAGTAAATTGAGCATTTTCCAGTACGTAGTATTATAATGTAGATAAATAAATGTGTAATAAATAAACGTTAAGGCTTCCTCACCGCCAGATGGCTTCGAGGTTAAATATATTTAAATTATTTAAAGGAATTAATAATACTTTCTTTGTATTTTTTGGTAATTACATCAAACATTGACACTAATTATGTTTGGAGAGCGAAAAGAAGTACCCCTTCTTCCTTTATATCACCTTCTATTACATGCAAATCTCTTATATATTGTTGCATATGTAATTAGTATTGTATACATGTTCCCTCTTCTCTAGTAGTCTATTAAAAGATAACGTTACTGCGACTTACGAAGGAATTAATAGTTATGTTTATATAAAAGAAGTTCATCCGTTTTTTGTGACACAGAGTCTTGAATCAGTTACTCTGTGTTGTCAGAGTACTACATAATACGAAAATGGCTGCTCCTATAAAGGCAACTGTAAAAAAAGTGAAACCAATTCTTTCTCTTAATCCGCAAGATGCACGTAAAAGAGTAATACAGTTATACAAGGCCTGGTATCGAGAAATTCCTCTTGTCAGTATGTACCCAAAAGATACTAGAATAGTTTCCTTCGAGCGTTAATCAGATGTGGTGTTACTTAACCTATCTGCGACAAGAATAGTAATACTTTCCAGGAATGCAAAGCCGTTCCTTTCTTTCATTAATGTGATATTGTAATATCGATTTAGTTCATTTAAAATTCCTTACATGTAGCGTACAATTTTGATTAAAAATTGTTTTCATATCACATCTTCATCATCTTTACATACAACTGATTTGTCTTGTAGAACTGAATTATGATATTCCAAAATCAGAGAACGATTGTAGGATAAAGTTGAGAGAAATGTTTGTACGTAATGCCAAAGTCACAGACATAAGAGTTATAGATCTACTTGTCATTAAGGTAAGCCAAGGTTGATAGGTTAGAATACTTTATACTTAAAGGCTTTTTTACTAGTTTGTATATGTGCTGTTCTAGGGTCAAATGGAGCTTCAAGAAGTTGCAATGTTGTGGAAACCAAAAGGATGTCTTATGAATTATTGGAAAGAGACAGAGGAACCAAAGCCAACCGACTTCATGTCCAAATTCCTTTCGGGTCAGGACACGACCATATAGTTCTACTTTGTATAAGAATAAGTACACGTAAATACTTCTTACTAGTACTTGTATAGTAAATTACCTATAACTTATACGAACGATGTGTATATATGCCGTACGCGCGATGCTGTCTGTAAAATAAAATTGAAAAGGGAAACAAAATGTAGTTGTTTATTAAAAAAAAATCAAGTTATACATTATTTGAAAAGATGAATCTTTAATCGACTCTTACAGAAGATAGAATATTTCTTTTAATTTACACTTTATCTTTACATCGATATATTATTATTCGCTTATATACATTTGACAAGATGATATATTACTAAGCACCTTAGGTACAATCTAGTTCACTTTTCACAGCCATACGGATAATTTGCTTTCCTTCAGTGAACAAGTATAGAATTATACATACATACATACATATATATACATACATATGTCTGAACTGAGTGTATTCGAACTTTCGTGAACTCACACCTTAGCAATATGCGCGTTCTTTCGTTCTTCTCCTGCATCGCGTAAAGGGAATCGACGTTTGTGCTAAACTCGAGATAGACATCCGCGTGATCTCTGCGTTTGTATACTTTGGTTAGAATTATTTTTATAAAACAGTTCGTCGTATTCTCGTCGTTATGCTCTCGGATTAAAAAAAAAATGTTTTAACAAATAAATTCCGCGCTACGTAAAAAGACACGTACGCCGTCAAAACGATGCGTGTTTCTAGTACAAGTTATAAAATATCTAGGTATTACAAATATACACGATCGGTAACTTTCATACCCATACATTCCACGTATCTATGCTAAAAAGAAAAAAGAAAAAAAAAATGGCAACAATACATCATGCTTATGACTCGTAAATGTTGTTAACGTCTTTGTGCACTCGCACACGTTTCATAGCACAAGGTTCCATATTCGCGTACATCGCTTATCGTTTCTCCTCGGACAGAGAAGAGGCTCTGTATCATCAAACTATACTCTCACGTTCTGACTGTATATCGTACCCTGCTATCACGCCCCGTCTTAAGGAAACGTCGCTGTTCCGTAACCCGTTTCCACTGAACAGATTTACCAACCAACTTCTGATCGAATTTCTCGCGGAGGATTTCTTGTCCGGCACATTGTCCGAGCTAGGAACGGATGCCACCTGATCGAGGGAACGCCAACGTTTAACAGGCATCACTTCTCCCATGCAACCGCTCTCATCTCCCAGCAAAGGCGTCTCCGCTTCGTTCGGCGATCCGTCAGTGTGGGGCACTATAATCACGTTACCGTTTGGATAGTTGTTGTTCAACACTTTCCCGGATATGTTCGTTTTCGAGCTTGTCCGCGTGCACTTGTCACAATTTTCCAGCGACCGGAAACTCTTTTTCGGTTCCTTCCACGAGAAGTTCGGCGACTCGAATCTCTTGTTGTACAATTCTAAGGGAAACGGATCCAACGAGCGGGACTCTCGTATTATATTCTGAAACGGATAGTCGCTGGTGGAGGACGACGAAGCGATCGTCGACAGAACCCTCGCGTTCTTTCGTAACTTCGGCCCGGTGTCGATGAAAAAGTCGTCAAGCGCCATCTTGATGTGGGTCGCTCGAGAGTCGACGTCATCCTGTATGCAACTCCCGACATTTTCCAACGTCGTCTTGGATACACTGTCGGCCAAGTAAAGAGGAGACCGTTCTACCTTTCGAGAGTTGAGGAGCCGCGGCACCGGACTGGATCCTCCGCACTGGGACGAAGAGTCGTCCGCGGTTGGTCGCGGAACGCTGGACTGTCTGCGACTTCCTGCTCCCAGACCGCCTAACAACGAAGCCTGGCGAGAGTCCGAATTCAACTTTGGACTTCTTCTCGGCCTACAGAAGAGCGGCGGAAGATCACCCACGTCGACCTGGGCAGATAAAGGAGCACGTGTAAGCGTAATTTCATTTAAAAAGGTCACGAAAACTTGAATTACACCAGTAATTACATTGCGTTTAAAGCAAGTGAACAATAATGGCTGTAATTTTTATTACTTTAACTAGCTAACCTCGTTAATGTAACTGTACGCTTTTACACCGATTTACTCACCTCTCGCTTTTGAATAGCTTTCTCGGTAGCTCCGGTGAGCCAATAAGTTTTCACTTCCCCCTTTCCTTTCATATGAACTAAACCGCGTTCCTCGATGATGTAACCACCGATCTTGTCCAAGGCATCTTTGCACTGACCGCTTATGTGAATACGTAATGGTTCACCGTTAGATTCCATACGGGAAGCGGTGTTCACGGTGTCTCCGAACAGACAATATCTGGGCATTGTCAGACCAACGACACCAGCCACCACAGGACCTGAAACGTTTATTATTTACGGATTGATGAGACCACACGTCGCATTTATTCATCTTCATCTACCGTGTACGCTACCTGTGTGAATTCCGATACGTAATTTAAGCGTGTCTTGAGGCCTGTGAGCTATGGTATGGTGTTTCACGGCGTTGAGTAAATCCAGAGACATCGACGCGATTTCCCCGGCGTGTCTGTTTCCATTTTTGATTGGCAAACCGGAGACCTGGAAGAGACGTATCGCTGTGAGGTGACGAGAAGCGACGATTAAGTAGACGAGGACTACAAAGTATCAGCAAAATAATTTATTTACCACCATGTAGGCGTCACCAATTGTTTCTACTTTATACACATCGTATCCTTTGATGATGCGGTCGAACAAAGTGTATAGGTCGTTCAAAAAGTTTACGACCTGTAAAAAGCAATTGTAAAGGTAATCTCTGAGGTTGTGTACTTTGTTTCACCGGCAATTAATTTGAAAGAAACCCACCTGGAACGGCGTGCTTTCCGCTGACATTGCGGTGAAGCCTACGATGTCGCTGAAATATATAGTGACCAGGTCGAAGGCCTCCGGTTCCACACCGATGCCGTTCGTGAGGCAGTTGGCGACGGGTCTGCGAGGAACATGTGTAATATTTATGCCTTGAATATTCACTTATTTCTCGAAAAAACTGGTAGACGCTGATCTAAGACTCTACGCTGATTTCAACGATACACTTACTCGGGCAGCATTCGGTGAAGCAGATCCTCGGTTTTCTGTTTCTCCTCGAAAAGAAGGCGTGTACGTTCACTGACTAGATCTTCGAGGTTGTTCGCATACTTCTCCATCATGTCCATCATTTGGTCCATTATATTGCGATGCCGTCCCGCTTTCATTTTCTTCAACCGCGTCCTGATCATTTTGAAGTCGGGCCTAAGCTCTGGACTCTCCGCCCAGCAGTCGGTAATCGTACTAACTATATACTCGGCACAGTCCGCTTCCGACTCGGACAGTATATCTACGTTAGGTCTAAACGGCGGTTCACCATCTTCTGGGAACCTTTTCACTCGGTCTATGATTTCTGTCAATTTGTTAACGGTCACATATAGATCTTTGTAACTGTATCCTCTTTCGGCGAACGCCTATCAAATGTCAACAGTCACGTGCATAATTACCTTTGGGTTCTAGATTCACGCCACCGTACGGGCCCTTGCGTCCAATTATTTCGAACAGTATAATAGCGAACGAGTAAATATCTCCCTCCTGGGTGCCTCTTATCGGAGCATTGGGATTTCTTAATAGCTCGGGTGCCTTCCAGAATAAGTCTGAAATGAAGCAAAGTTGTCAAGTTCTAGGTCTCGAAAACTTTGGGGTCTATCGCGATAACGTGGTTACTCCTCGTACTTCGATAATACTGATGTTCACCGATGCTGTCGGACTCGGCGCAGTGCCGCATATCGTGCAGGCCGAAATCAGAGACTTGGAGTACCCATCGCGATGTCACCACGCAATTGGAAGACTTCAGATTACCGTGACAGACTAGCACAGACGACTCATGAATGTACAGCATACCCTGCGTCCGAGTAAAATCGTTTAATAGAATGCCAACCAAGACTTCCGGGTGTAAGCATTCTCCAGTGATCTTAGCCAAAAGATACAGCTTACAGCTGAAAGTCTCGGTTGGTATCAACTATGAAAAATCGAGCAACGATGGCTCGAAGAATGTCTTATTAAATAGAATAATATCAGAGTATCCGAACTTGGTCGAAACGCTCACCTTAATGAGATCGTGAACTAACGACGCGATGAACATATCGTCCAACTTTATATCTTCGTTCTCGATGATGTCCTGAAACACGTACGACGATTCTATGATATATAAACCGGAGCCAGATTAAAGGCTTTAATAGATTATTCTTGTAAAGATAATTATATTATTCTTATTGTTTTAGTTAATCTTTTAGAAAAAGTTCAAGACGACGTACGTAAAGACTTCCTTTGGCGCAGTAGTCCGTAATTAACAATATCCTCATGGGCTCCACGCATGCCCCGATGAACGAGTTCAGATTCCCGTGTCTGATTTCGCGAAGTATACGCATCTCCTTCATCACGTCCCGCGAGATGTCCTTCTTCTTCGAGAACTTGAGCTCTTTTATTCGCACCACTACCCCGTGGTAATGCCCGGTTTGCGCGAACACCTGGCCCCCGCATCTTGACTCGTAGGACATTGCACTAACTAAGCTTAACTGCAACAAGAAGTCGCACTTATTCTTTGTAATTATAGGCGAGGATCGATTGGCGAGCGATCATTTGCGAAACACTACGTTGAACACGTCAGTGTAGTATAGAGTTCTGCTATTACGAAAAGACCTTGCCAAGTGCATTTCTCCTACCTGTACATACATATTTTTTCTAAATCGTATAGACGGTACAATATCATTGCACTACAGTTGTTTCGGCAGTTTTGTTTCGGATGAACAGTTCGAATAGAACGTAGGCTATCCGTGGACAGGAATGACGTTCGACGATGAGGAGGACGAAGAGGATCAAATCTCATCATTTACCTTACTAGGGGAGGACATCATGTTGTCAAGATGAGGATAACCGTGTATCTCGCTCGGATCGATCTTCCACAGCAGCCCCTCTATTTCCTGTTCTATCTTCCACCTGCGATATATGCTCATGGTGATGACCGCGGCGCAGAACAATAGAACGGCCAGCACGCCGGCGGCCACGATGCTACGCAGATGCGTGTCGTCTTTGGGACAGTGTTCGTTGAGAAAACCGCATCCTGGTTCCGCTTCCGGTTTGTTTTTACCCGGCCAGTCCATGGCCTCCGACGGCCTGTACACCTGTCGACGCGACGGA